AATTGCGAACTGTACTTTCTGGAGAGGCAGTGTAGTAGAAGTGTGTCTTATACCTTGGGATGACTTCACCTGTATGCTGTATTGTGACATTCCCAATGGCGGTTGCCACGGACACGACATACACAACCCGTCAGAGAAAATCTTAGAACCCGCTTCAAGACTTACAGCTCATGACGTACTCACAAAACAAACACAGTTTTCGTCATTCCAATGAATATCAACCACCTTAACATATGCACAAGGAAATGTTTGTGTACTCAAAAATAACAACTGTTTGTAGCGTGTCCATAATTTCTTCAAATAAAAGGGGTTTAAAGGGGAATATAATTTTCACTTGCAATTCAGTGATACTGGACGTCAACGTACGTGAAAACCTTGTCCCTAATGATATTATATCATTGTGAGTGGGTGAGTGAGTATGGTTTTACGACGCTTTTACTCCAGCAATATCACGGGGGGGGGGTCACACCACAAATGTTCTTCACATAGTGTATCCGTGTGAGGAATGGGTTGCACTCAGCAATATTCCAGGGTGCCGTTCCACTAACCGATCTTATCTAAGATCAATCTTAGCAAGTTACGCCAATTTTACAATCGCCTTACCTAAAAGTTACACCCGTTCCACTAACCGATCTTAGGCCGATCGTAGCCGGTCCCGATCTTACGATCCGATCCAAGCTTAGATCGAGACTCTTTCGTGCGAGAGATAGAGGAATGCGAGGCACGCGTTATCTCCCTTTGCATAGTCTAGCAAATGATAGAAAGTAGTTTACGAACCAACTGAGTGAGTGAGTGAGTTTAGATTTACGCCGCACTCAGCAATAGTCCAGCTATATGGCGGCGGTCTGTAAATAATCTAGCTAAGATGCATAGCGTTCACTAACATGAGCGTTCATGTTAGTGAACGCTATGTATCTTAGCTATAAATAATCGAGTCTGGACCAAACAATCCAGAGATCAACAGCATGCGCATCGATCTGCGCAGTTGGGAACCGATGACATGTGTCAACCAAGTCAGCGAGCCTGACCACCCGATCCCGTTAGTGGCCTCTTACGACAGGCATGGGTTATTGAAGTTCAATATTCTAACACGGTCCTTCATGGGTATTTTTCCAACCAAGTGTAAACGTGGAGAAAAAAACCTAGAGCAAAATATTAGGGTACTGAGCACCTTGGTTTCAGGTGCAAGTGCGTGAGAACGCTGGGTATCAAGCATAATATAATAATAATAATTGCATATTTATAGTGCGCCTATTCCACATCAGTGGGCATGCTCAAAGCGCTGTGTACAGATCTATAATTTACACGAGAATATTTACAGCCGAGATTATAAGTAATATACTGAGAATTGTGTCAGAGCTTTTAATATGTGCCTGAACCTTGTCAATCAGAATAAACAAGGCGTGACGAGGCTATAACGTATGTAGAATCTGTCAGTGGTCTTGAATAACACGCGGCCTGCCTTCAGAATCCCCCACCAAATATGCGCAGTGAAATCAAGCATATTTGTATCTTTTTTGCTTCAGAACATTGTTCACTTCACGGCTGTCCCTATTCTTAACCATGACGTTGCAATATTGTTGTACAAATGGGTTACACCGACTCGCTCGGTTGTGTTCCCATGACGACAGTGGTCAGACTGGCCTGACATTTGTAAGGCTTGTTCAGCGCAGTGTTTGTTTACATCACAGAAATATACAAATTCATTTCATGGGGGACTTTAGGGGACGCTCACGGTGAAATGCTCGCTCTTATTTTTCACATAGAATAGGAAAGCCACCATTTTGGTTTCTCTACGATTGATTTTAGCTATCCTAAGTTGGTCATGAGCAACTTAGACTTTGAATCTTAACTTTACGATTGACTTAGGTAAGATTGGTTAGTGGAACGGTATGCCGATCGTAACGTCACACTAAGATTGGGATTTTAGGGGTTTACGATTGGCATAGGGCTAAGATCGGTTAGTGGAACGGCACCGAGCTATATAGCGGCGGTCTGTATATATTCGAGAGTCTGGACCAGACAATCCAGTGATCAAGAACATGAGCATCGATATACGCATTTAAGATACGATGACATGTTTCAACCAAGTCAGCGAGCCTGACCACCCGATCCTGTTAGTCGCCTCTTACGACAAGCATGGGTTGCTGAAGATCAGTTCTAGTCCGGATCTTCGCGGGTAATTTAATATATAGAACGATATAGACAACATACGTAGCGAAAACACATGACACATTTTCAAAAATTAACTTATTTATTCTTTGTCACGACGTTCCATGCAAGCCTGACCAACCGATCGCGTTCACCTCATAAAGGAGCAAGCATTGTGTGATAGAGACGTGTCATGCATTCATGTTCGTGCAACTTCTTAATACCTTTCAAGTACGCCATGCCTAGAGTGCATTACAATGACAAAGCTTTGTTGTTTACGCGTTTTATCACAACCTATATATAACCGTTTACACAGCTACCTGTGGAGTACTCAACAATGTGCTCCGATTATGCTGTCAGTGGTGTATTGATAACCAGTAGCCTTCATACAGTCACGTAAGCACATCACCATGAATATGTATGTCCACACCTTCTTGTTAATGTCTCTGGCCTACCTTTAGAATACAGCACCATAAAACGTCACAGGAATGACTCGATAAATTTGCACATAAGGCATTGTTTCGAGAACGTGCTTTCGAGCAAGATCACATTAAATTACATTAAAGGGTATTATGACGTATTTTTAGAGTTTGTGGTGATGTATTCTAAAGGTAGGCCCAATACTTCAAAACTGGTCGTAAGCCGACTGTCTGCATGTGTAAGAATATAAAATAATACTTTATTTTCGAATCTTGAACGTTGGCTAGATCGTAAATAAACATATACTATAATCCATATAATATTTTTTTTTTTTTAAATCTTTTTATTTGTTCCCATAATTGAGTACAAGCATATAAAGTAAAGCAATAAATGCATAAATACATGATCAAAGTTCATTGGGTTCAACAAAAATGTTAGATCAACTGATAGGATACAGTAAAATTATTCCCCTTTGATTAAAGATTACGTCAGAAATTAAATATTGAGAATAAAGGAAACCATTTGTCTGAAAATTTATCAGATTTATTGAAATTTTCAACCGTATAAATGTCTTTCAAATTTAAATTTTTTTTATTAACTTTTGGAATTATTTTCTTCAAAGTGCAAGTATATATATATTTTTTAGCAAATAGATTATATGATTGAGTAATGGCTTACTACCCAAAATTCCAAACCAAACCAAGGTCTTTGTTATTTCAAATTTCTGTATTCTGGATTATCCAGTTTTCAAGTTCCTTCCACATTCCCAATATACGTGACATAAAGTTTCACTATCAACATTACAAAGGCTACATACTGCATTTTCAACCAGTTTCATTTTCATAAGTTCTTTTTTTGTATAAATAATTCTGTGCAAAAATTTAAATTGAAAGTCTAAAAGTTTTACATCTTTCACATTCCTTCTGCAAATATTAAAAATCATACGCCAATCAAAATCAATATCATAAAATAAGTTTTCCCATTTTAGGCAAATATGAGGTTTAATATTGTCAGATAAGAGTTTATCATAAAATAATCTTGAACCTTTTTTCAAATCCATAACATCTTTATGAAGAAAGTTATCATCCAGATCATTGTTATGTATATTTCTGTATTGTTTTATGGTCAATTTCCATGATTCAGGTATGATATAGAAAACATATCGAAGATCCATATATGTACCTCTAATATCTGAGCTTCCGATCTTCAAGAGACATAAAACCATCTTCATTACAAAGGTCCTTAATTGTTTAAATTCCATTTTTAGCCCAATGCCTGATAAAGTGATTTGGGTTTTTGAAATTATCATTCAACCATATTGGTTGTGCTAAAATTCCTTTAATGTTGTCTGCTTCTATGGTATTCTTATTACAGTATAATTTCCATGCCAATAAAGCATCTTTCCAAAAAGGATTATCAATTTCAACAATATTCTGAAAATTTGCTCCATATTTTAGTATATCATTTAATGGAAAATTGCATGGATTATTCATATTTGTTTTTCTCAAATAGAGTCTGAGTGTGGATAATTTCATGGCATTAATAAAGGTTTTAGTATCTATCATGCGTAAGCCCCCTTCTGTATAATCCTTTTTCAAAGTGCTCCGTTTAATTTTATCATTTTTGTCGTTCCAAATGAATCTGAAAAATAGTCTCTCAAGGGAAGTAATAAATTCATCAGGTGGATTAGGTAAAGAATTGAAAATGTGAACCAGTTTTGAAAGAGCCAATGTTTTAATTACAGTGATTTTGCCAATCAGTGTGAGATGTCTTTTTCTCCATGTTGCAAATAATCTATTAATTTCTTCAAGTCTTTTTCTTGTGTTGATTACCCATAAGTCATTCAAATCAGGTGTGAATTTAATACCCAAAACTTCATATTCCTTTCTTTGCCATTCTATATTCAAATCTTCACAAATCATATCTCTCCTACCTGCATTTGAGCCTATCCAGATTGCTTTAGGCTTATCGATATTTATCCTTAACCCTGACATATTGTAAAAAGTATTAATGGTATCAATAGCAGCATACAAACTTTCATCTAAAAATAATTCAGTATCATCAGCATATTGTCCTAATTTATATTCCTGAACATCGATTACAATACCCTTTATATCATCATTTTGTCTTATCATACATCCAAGGATTTCAGCTACAAAAAGAAACAAATATGGCGATATCAGGTCACCTTGCCTGCAACCCCGCTCATTAGGGAAGAAATCAGAGAGATGTCCATTCTGAATAACACATGATGTTGTATCATAAGTTAATAAATTAATCCAGCGTATAATCTGTGGCCCAAAACCAAATTTTAGTAAAACAGAGTTGATAAAATCTTTAGAAACTGTGTCAAAAGCTTTTTCGAAGTCGATTAAAATCAGCAGACCAGGAATATCTCTTTTCTTTGTTTCAAATATTAGATCATATAATAACCATTTAATATTTTATTTTAAAAGAATGCATAAAAATAAAATAAACAACATATATAAACATACGTATCCAGTGTTTGTACGGCACTAGGAATGTTACAGAATTCATGGTGCAGAAATATACTGGACAAAAAGGGATATATATAAATTTTGAAATTATGAATAATGATATGTTTATTCATTGACACACTGATAAAGTATCAATCATAAAAATACCAATATCCCTAACTTAGTTTGTCCAGTATATGTAACAGTAATAGGCTTGTTGAATAAAGCTCGGATAGTGGATTATGGGGAGCATATAGTGTACATTGAAGCACTGAAATGTAACAGAAAACGTCGTCTAAGATATGCATAACAGTTATAGTGAAAGGCATAACTATTCAAGAAGCTAATAGCAAATTGATATTGAAAGCTCGTATACTGACTTGGACAAAAAATGGTAAGATCTTGTACAACACTAGAAAGGTAAAGCTGGGGTTGTCAAGAAAAAAAAGAACACAAATTAATGGAATAACCGAGAACAATTTACCAAAATACATTGATAATTGTTGAAAGCTCTGATACTATATACAAGGGATAAATGAATGGTAAGACCTGTTTGTTGTTAATAATCGACACTGGCAAGCGGTGTCCTGAAGGTTATGTCAAGTTGCTGGACACAAAATGGGAACTGTCGTTTAAAGGGTTCTGTACCGCCTTAACCACTTGCTGCTTGTAAAGTAAGCCGATGGGAGTTGTTAAAGCTGGAGGGACAATAATTTCTTGTTGTATTCAGTGTAGGTCTTTTTACAGAGAGGTCGCCGAAGCAACAGAGAAAATATAGCAAAAATAATTAATATGCTTCGGATAAATGTTTTATGAAAAAGCTCAAGCCCGTAAGAGTTTAATCAACTTCGAATTGACATACACATCGCAAAATATACAACCTTTGTTGGCAGTTTTTGCACTCATATTCAGTATTTTCTTTCCAAGTTGGTTTATAGTTAATGATAGTGCCTAGGTACCTGTAGTGGCCACAAATAACTGCAACATTGCTGATGGGGTATTAAGCAATATTTACTCACTCACTCAGGTAACAGTTTCAGTTTTTAACGTTTTCATTTTAAATTTCTACATTTTTGATTGATAGCGGCGTCTGGTTTTGATATAGAATTCCTTAAAGCAGTATTAAGTTCAGCCAGATATGGGATAAAAAAGGATAAAATTTCTTTGTAGACGCATTTAACAGTGTAAATGGTCTCCCAATCAATAAACATTGATAATATTGATAATAAGGCCAGCCCGCACCGACATTATTACCCCGGATACCCCAAGCTGCCCGTTAGGCGCAAGAAGGTTCATATATATATAGAAACATAACTTATCCCACCCCGTAATCATACAGCAGTGTTTCATTTATCAAGTTGGAGTAACAGGAACAAATACACGAGAAGTGGAAATAAGCAGCACTTAACATCAACAGGAAATGGATAACAGGTAGCTCACAGAGAGCACAATTGTGCCACCTTCAAGATATGCAGTTTGATTGTGTCACTACCCACGCCACTGTTGCCAGAAACTACAGATGCCTCGTCTAAGCTTCTCTGCCCCAAATTTTGTTTCATCTGGCAGTGGTTGTATAAACCCTATCACTCATCTCCCTCCGACTCCTAAGATTTCGCATACTACCTATGCCACTGTCCGTAGAAGCTACAGATTCAGTTCTGCCCAAATTACTCTTCTTGGCAGCAGAAGCTGGAGCTTCAGACACCTGGTACTTTGACTTTTTGCCCATTTTGTTTTTTTTCAGACGTCGCCGACTGCTTGGGTAAATACCATCGTCAGAAAGCACAGATAGCCGGTTGATAACTGTTCTGTCAGGAGTTCTCATGTATGGACTTTCCGCACTGCCATCAGCAGGTACAGTTGACGGCACATCGCTGTTAGAAACGCTTGTCTTGTTCAAATGGTTGTTTGTGTCAGGACCCAGGACACCGTCAGCAGCAGCTACTGATGCCCCAGCCAATGGCGTCGTTTCTGTCTGCATCTTGAAATAGATACGAAGAGCAAGTTGTTTCATGGATTTGGTTGGTTGGATGTTTAACAGAAATATTCCAGCTATTTGGCGGCGGTCTGTAAATAATGGAGTCTGGACCAGACAATCCAGCGATCAACAACATGAGCACCGAGCTACACAACTGGGATTCAATGACATGTGTCAATTAAGTCATTGAGTGTGACCACCCGATCCCGTTAGTCGAGTCGATAAGTATGGGTTGTTGAGGACCAATTCTAGCCCGGACCTTCACTAGTTCACTTCCCGGAACATGGAATGTCCCACAACATGCTATGAATACGATGCTAGTCGCACTAAAGCTACTGCTCGCATGATATGGGCATATGGTATGCTTGTCTATATATATGGCGGCGGTCTGTAAATAATCGAATTCGGACCATGCAATCCGGTGACTGACATCATGAGCATCGATATACGCGCATCAACCAAGTCAGAGAGCCTGATCACCCGATCCCGCTTCTCACGGGTGCATTTGTTGCTTAAGACCAATTATAACCCGAATCTTCACGGGTATGTTAGGTATACCAATAAGGACGATATCTACCTGTCGGGAATGCAAACTTCTTTCATTGAGTCGTCTGGCATCTGTAATGTACAAGTGAACATTATGTAAAGTGTGTACTGCATACGCTTGACAAATTGTCTGTTTTATGAATGTAACATTCAACAAGTTGGTGTGTCCAAAATTAAGAATACGACTTTATGGATAACAACTTCTTGAGTATTACATAGAGCGACGTGTCGATGTAGATGATAACGGAGTTGTTATGAACAAGAAATTGTTATTCATATAGTAGTATGCATCATTATAAGCATTCAAATAGGAAATTGATCCCAATCCCAATCCAAGAATAATATGTAACAACCCCAGACTTTCTCATATCCACGATTTGATTGGATTGATTTGATTGCTTTTGAAAGAAACCAAATGCAGTGGACTCTGTATAATCCGACATCTCAATAATCTGACAATCTGTGAATTCCGACATATTTTGGGGTCCCGGCAGCATTCTTCTATGTTCGCATCATTTAAACATTGAATTATCCGACATCTTCATTAAAAATTCCGACTTAATTTTCTTGAATGGGCTGAGAAAAGGGTTCAATTAATTTTGTGAGATCATTTACCAATGAGTCAGTGGTGTCAGCAATAAATAGCTTGCCACACTGTAGACCATTACCGATGCAAAATGCAAACTCCACCACTAAAGAGACAAAGAAGTGATCTGACTCTTGAAAAGAAGATTCAACTCGATCTGTTTGATTGGCATTTTAGAAGTTGATTGATAACAAGCTGGCATCGAATGAAAACTCTACTCCAAGCCAATTGCAGGAACACCTCCAAACAACAAACACCCAAAGAAGTTGTTTACAAGATCAGCTGTGACTGTGGTTAGGCCTATGTTGGTGAAACCTCAAGCCCCATAAAACTCAGAATTAAATTATCACCTAGCATCAACCAAAAAGTCAGACTGTAAATCAGCTATCTCTGAACACATAATCAACTGTCATAATCACAACACTGGTGGGGACAATGTGGAAATATTATCAAAAAACCTCCAGGACTTCACCAAAAGAATACTGGCAGAAGCAGTTCAAATCCGCCTACAATGAACTGATAAAAACAACAGAGCAGAGCACTCCAAGATTCGAACCCGGGTCTTCGGCGTGACGAGCCAACGCTTTAACCATTAGGCTACCGCACCGCCCCAGACCTAGATTAGACATGACATTTTGTTACAATATATATACTTTTCACGGTTAGTTTGGTTTTTCCACCAAGTGAAATCTGTTTGTTAGTACTGTAAGACTAGCCATTCTTTTACACTGAGGTTATTTAGTTGATTTTGTGGAATATTTTTCTGGTTCGGGCAAACAGTCGATCCAGATCAATATAAACAGTGTTAACCTTCTTAAACTAAACTTCAAGTTTCAAACTATTCTTGGTGAAAAAAAACAGATTAAAATTGCTTATAATCGTGTGTCTATCGTTAGGTTTTTATGACTTGAACAATGGTGATACTGATAAAATTCGTTCACAAAAACTTTAAGATGAAGCAGATAATTATCGGTTTTGGAGTAGTAATCAAATCCTCAATACAAACTCACATGAAATACCAATGTTAATATATATCGCCAATTACCTGGTTCCTGGTCAGGATGCTCGGATGGTGATTGTGTGGATCCGGTGATGTAGCATATCATGTCATCCTCCGACTCATAAGGTGTAGAACCAGTTGATGTTCCAGCGTCACTGTCGGACATGGTTGCTTATCAAACTATACTCAAATGTCAAATGTTGATCTACGTGAGTTATTAGTTTAGACTGTCATAGATTGAGCAGCTACTTCCCAACAGTTTAAGTATGAAAATGAGAGTGCATGATCTGTAATCTTCGAAGCCATTCAGAACGATTCATTCGACAAACATTTTCCGTCTTTGTCGCACCGCTATCTGTGACAAAATATGTTCTGGGTCCTTCTTTGTCGTAGAACACGACTCCCTGACAATAACGAATGGCAACTTCCAATACAACTAAGCCAGCATTCCGTATGGTGTGGAATCTAATATCGACCAAGTCCCTTGGTCCTTCTGTAAAATGTCCGTCAAGATCCAAGACACAGATGTCAGTTTCCAGCTTCTTGTAAATGTGTTCTCTCAGAGACTCTTGTGATATGTCCAGCTTAAAACCAGTGTATTCCGGTTTCTTAGTTGCATATCCTTCTTTTGTTGTTAGTTTCGATTCGCTAACACCCAAGAAGTATGACCCCCCACCAACAACCTTGGACATAGATGTAATGTTGTCCTTGAGCTTCAATGTCTTCCATATGTAGTCAGTCAACTGTTTAGCATCTCCCTTAATGCTTGTTACTTCTCTCGTGGTCCTGAATGTTTTCAGTTGTATATGTCGATTCTCGTGAAGGTCCTGGACGTTATCTGGCAGCTCTGCAGAAGGGACGCTACCTGCTGGAGTTTCTGTTTTTCTCAGTAACACCTGTATGTTTAATGAGTTGATGCTAAGATTCTCACTGTCATTACTTGCTTTTGTGTTGAAATCAACAGTACATACACTCTCAACTTTCCCAACTGTTATCTGAACAAAGTCAGTGATATCTTCAAATGTTTCAATCTGACACAAACATTTACGTTCATAGACGTCAGTATAGAGTTCACCGTTTTCAAGTAACCCTGTCAACTCCTTTCTGACGGCCTCGTCAAAGTACTCCAGACACCGGTCTTCCTGGGACGTCCCTTGTACGTGGACTAACAACACTCCTCCACCGCTGTTACGTAATGCTGACGCTGCTTTGGCGACTTGATCCGCAAATCTCTTCTTTCCTGTTTTCTTTGGTTCTTCTCCTTGTCTTCTCCTGCCACCCTCGGTTAGAATCTTAATTTCGGTGTGAACCGGTAAAAGTTTGTTGACTGGTTCACGGTTCTCCTTCTCTATGAATATCTTCCGTACTTGAGTACATCTGGAACACACACCTGTAATACAAACAAGTCCAACTGAAACAGTCACACCTTCATTTAACGTCCGGTCGTCTTGACAATAGGTTCAAAGGCAGGAAGTTTCTATATCTTGCTTTATATGGAAACTTTTAAACATTTGTCACTTGGTGATAACGAGGCACACGTGGGTGAGAGAGTGGTCTTACGCCCCTCTTAGCAATATTTCAACAATATCACAGAGACACCAGAAGTAGGTTTCACACATTTTATCCATGTTGGGAATGGAACCAGGGTCTTTGGCGTGACGAGAGAACTTTCACACAGAACAGATGTAACAGTCCCCTTACATACCATACTTCTGAGTATTGTGACATATTATGTACAATGTCCCCAAACATGTCTCAAGTGTGTTTATTCACTGCTTGGATCTTGGGCAACATGATTCAGAAATTGACTACAACTATTCAGCCATGATCATCCTAAGCCTAATACCCTGACCCAAAGTGAGCTATATGGGAACACAACTTGGTTACTGTAAGTTCAGTCACGTTGCTTTCATTCCTTTTATCCGACTTTGATGAGCCCCAAGAACCAAGAAGTGCCGACATGTTTTCACTCATGTCTACTCAGTGAATTACAATGGCAGACATGATTAAGCATGGAGAATATGCTAACAAATATAATTCACATTGTCGTTTAGGGCATTAACTGTAAAATACCATGGTAACCATTACCAACCTTCATCACCTCTGGTCACGTTCATCATTCCTCATTTTGTTTTGCACACCTGTTATAGAAATAGGTAAATTAATTGGATTATCTTTAATTAATAGGTAATTCAGATTAAATATTCTCAGTCGAATGATTGAATGAAGTTAATTTAAATAAAGAAGATGAAAAGCATTGTTATTGATATTTCACAGTACCTACAATGGCTAATAATATATACCTGTCAGGTTGTCTACTTATCTAAACCAGTTTGACAAAAAGACTACTGCGTCCTAAAAGTTGCCTTCGTACACAGCGATTTCCTACTAACACATACATCTAGTCCCCACCTTACCTTATGCATTTTTGATGCAACCAAGAGACTGCTAAGGATAGATTGGCTTGTTTGTGGTAACCTGTAGTAGGTAGCTGGCTTGAAACCACCCGTGAACTAGACTAGATTTGGAAAGTTTAAATATGACGTGTTTAATGTGTGCAAAGGTAATTACAACTGTTGAGAAAACCACGGTTCAATTCTCCTTTTGAATGTAGTCAAGAAGCCCATTTCTGATGTACAGACATCCCCTCCGCGGCATAGTACGCCCGGGCATATTGCTGAGAGAAACGTCTCATCCCCTATATATTTAATACATGGTGTATGACAGTGTAAAACAAGATTGTAGTTGTAATTATACAACAATTTACCTGTTAAGACTCAATAGAATCCTTAGACCATAGGATTCTATCGCATCTATGACAAGTTATAATATCTATGGTGTTAACAATAAGCAGTGTCTAAAACTCCCAAAATTCCAAGCTAGACAGCCGGACTGGTAACTTTAGAAAATCACCAGTCCGGATACAAACTTGCCTGTCCGGTTTTCAACAATACAAATACTGCGACTGCCATTTCCAGCTCGCACAAGCTCCATTCACAATGAACTACATAGCACTAACAGGCAATGAACAGAGTTTATGTAAACTGAAACTGGTTTTTGTATCTTGAACTGTACAATCTTAAGTAGTTTAATATAACTTTCATAATAGCTTAAACACCTCAAACTGATGACAAGAGAACCTGCCTGATATTATGAAATATTTACTGTTAGGGGTATAAATATCTACCAGAGCACCGGATAGGCTACTTTTAAAATTTGACCGTCCGAGATGAAAATAAACCGTTCCGGACGGTCGGGCAGGCGGGAATTTTAAACGCTGCAATAAGGCAACTAATCTCCAGCACACAAAGTCGACGATCCAACCCACTCAGCCACCACCCCCACAGCATTACAAAACTGGAAGTCTGATCACATATTGATCAAATGGACATCAAATAATTCAAGACAATTTCAGAATAGGTCAAAATGTGTGGTTCGATGGTTAAAAGTGCTTATACCACCACTTGATCTGACAAGTGGAAATTGGCACGGCTCCCACGACCGAAGTTACACAATGAATGAGTCTGAGTGTCATCCGGCTTGTGTAACAGACAGTGTGTAGATCTTTCTGCCTTTCTGCACTTGGACTAAACGAGCACTTATAGGAGCACCTGTAACTACTGGCCAATTTCCATGTAACATGCTCACAGTGGGCGTTACTGGCAGTTCGAATTACACTGGAAAGACAACTGACACTGACATAAGTTATTTTCGTTGTTTGTAAACATAATTACCATAATACTGCAATGGATAAAGCCAGCAATGTATGTCAAGTTCACGCTAACGTTTGGAAAGGCCCGTAGTGTTAATCGCGGTCTGTATCGCGCACTTAGACTAACACTGTCAGATTTGGTGAATGACCCTTGCTCTTTGTTCGTCTGATCAGAAACGATTACGCCATGATGCAGGTAACTCTAACTGAACTAAACGAAGATTCAAGGACCATTCACACAGTTCATCCTGAATGTAATTTGTCGTCAAACTGCAATGGCTGACTGTGTACTGGAACTGGAAACCTGTGTCCAGCTTCTGTGAATCCGTAAACAGCCCCTCTTAATTAAAAACTATTCAAAAAACAATTCCCACCAGTAGTTTAATGAGAAACAAAGCACATCTCAGATGACACACCGTCACGGAAGTCACTGCCAAATTACGTTATATTCGTCGGAATATACTTTCACTTCCCTTAAGAAAGTGTTTGGATGTTTGCTTGATATAAACCTTAAATATTCCCTATGCAGTAGGTGATAATAGTTTATTATCACATTGTTGCTCCTGAATGTAATATGTCATCAAACTGCAAGTAAAACCTTTGCCCAGCTTGTATGAAAGGGTAAACAGCCCGTCTTTACGAAAGAACTTCACAACGATTGGTTATCATCAGTAGTTTAATGGCAAACAATACATATGATTCAAAACAGATACATATGATTGAGGGATCTGTACGAATATGGCGTACGAATACAATTTGTGGAGTGACTTGAGCGACTTGACAATTTGTGTACATACACTGCAACGAATGTCCCTTGTCAACCAAGGTAAAGTAACACTAAGCACTATCAAATTTAGATCAAACAAATAATTGAGAAACGAAAGGATGTACAAATGGAAACGACTCCCAGGTAAAGGAAGAAAGGAGATTACGTGCCCTCAGTTGCAAAATAAGTCATGGTTATTTCTTTGACATGCATCGGGTGGTCAGGCTTGTCTGACACATGTCGAATCCCAGTTGCGTAGATTTGGTGCCCATGATCACTGGATTGTCTGGTCCAGACGCCATTATTTAAAGACCACCACCGTATAGCTGGAATATTGCTGAATGAGGCGTTTAACAGCACAGAAACAAACAAGCAAACTGACGAATGATTCCAGGAATCCCTGTATTAGTATTGCAATCAATGTGTATTCTAGAGTGAATGATTTCGATGTAACGATATATTGTTTTATGATTTGTACCAGTTTCATGAGTAATGAAAGCCGATGAAAACTGACATGATTGAAACGTTCTTGGCTAATAAAAAAAAAGAATTGGCATAAACCATATCAACGCGTATATCACAAGAAATATTTGTTCAACTTATGTTCCAATTTTTCATTGGCAGAATAATCTAATTATATATCAAAGGTATTTCATGCTACATTTAAAAAGTCCATACTGGCTGACAACATGAATGACTGTGATCAGCAAAGTGGCTATATTTGCTACTCCCTGTTCCTGGTATCGGAGCTGACACATTTGCAGTCACCCACCACAACTAAGATCGCACCGCCTAACGAAAGAACTCTGGCGAACAATATGCATTTATTCTTCAGGCCATTGCTAGCAAAAAATCACTTACAAGCGCCACGTTGAAGATACCGAAGGCGGCAATGCCTCCTATCCGAGGTACCATGTCCACAGGGAAGGGTAGAAGGTCTGCAGTGAACAGCCCTTGCATGATAACAGACACAGGAGTCACCAACAGCTGGTAGCCAGTCATCCATAATAGTTCAGTCGACATGAATGTTATACTGCGGAACACATTGACAACAGAAAGAAGGAAAGATATTATCACAAGAGCTATTTGTACTTCTGCTGTGTAAGGTACACTTGTTGACTTGTCCACGCCAACAATGACGGGGAAAGTACTTTTTCCAAGCATGGCACCTAGCCCTAGAAAGAATATACACTGCATGATTTGCATAATTATTATCATCACAGTTGTACAATAGCTTTCATTTGGTATCAATGATGGTTTAATGGTGCTCACATCAGTCCAGTTTATGTTGTGTATGAGAGTCCCTTGAGGATGTGAGACAGCAGGTCCGTTGTCCCGAGAATCTGCGTCAGTAACATCACAGATGAGGTTCATGGCGTTTTCAGAAAGTGACGTACAGTGTACTCTGTAAATACCGGCATCAGTCGGGACCAAGTAAAAATGCCGGTTTTGACAGAGTGCCGGTTTAGCTAGGTTCGCTTATGACGCCTGCGCACACGGAAGTTCGCTGTCGCACTGTCACTTTAGCATTAACAAGATGTTTGAATAAGAAACAAGGCAGTGTCTGAATGCACATTCATGTTGTTTAAATCAAATAAAAATGTCTGAAATCTCTTATTAAATTTCAACTGATCATATACATGTATTTGTGACAAGACCCGTGGATTCACCATTGTCCTCAATCTCTGATCGTTTTATTACCAAAGAGCAATTTTTAAATGTCACAACATAGGCTTGAGATCCACTTGAACCCTGCAGTGTCCAAGCCAGGCTGAGATTTTTGGGAGAAAACAGACTTGCCCACAGAGATAGAGATTCTCGTGTTACGGTGAAAACTGATTCATGTTGTTGCACCAGTTGGTAACAGAATCTATATAACAGGTTACAGGTTATCTTCGAAGGTGTAGTCTTCACTGAACCTGTTAAACGCCCAAGCCAAGACTTGTCCTTCTTCATAATAATAATAATCCTCAGTTGCAGATCTTTCCGAAACCCTGTGTATATTTTGTTTCATTCTATTTATGATGAAATATCTGACATACCTTTAGAAGAACGGAGGCCAATTAAACAAACAACTGAATCTTTTCCCCAAAATGAAATTAATTTATTAAATGATATTATTTCTATGAAACTTTCTGCGGAGACCCGGCGCTTAAAGTTTCCACGGATATAAATATAGATTTTATTATTAGTAGTAAATACCATTAGTATTCTATTTGGAAACTCCTTTGTAAACATGTGGCACACCCGGCGCTTATTAGAGACCCGGCGCTTATTAGAGACCCGGCGCTTATTAGAGACCCGGCTCTTATTGGAGACCCGGCGCTTATTAGAGACCCGGCGCTTATTTCTTGAACAGTTGCTTTACCCCCGGCACTTATTGGAGGCCGGCGCTAACGGTAAGTTAGATGGGTGGGACTGTTATGCATAAACAATCTGGTAATTCACGTGCTCGCTCACAGCCTGACAAGCGTAGTGTCTTTTCCTCACTGTCGACGGGGTATTGTGTAGGTACATTCTTTGTTCGTGTTGCACAATGTTGGACTTCATGTTACACTTCCTGGATCTTGGACTGTTAGGTACACAAATATTCCTGACTGTCCTTGCACAGGGATTTATCTGAACCAGCTCCGAGCCCGATAAGTCGAACGGTGGTAAACATTCCCAGTTTGGTTAAAAAATATACACTCTTCAAAAAGAGGAACGCAAAATGAAATTCAAGAATGATACTTACAATTGTGTACACATATGTAAACTCAAACATTATTTTAGGGTTGTACATTGTTTCTGGAATGTTTTAGAAGATCATGCTTGACCAAACGCAACCAAAAATGATTTTGAACGGTTTTATCGATCAGGATTGTCATGATGTGCGTGGATGTCATGCAGCACGAATATCAGGCACAATGATTGTTTCTCACGTGCAAAGCATGAGTAAAGCATGTGATTATAAAAGACCCAAATGAATCTCACAATTTTATCCGCGATCTTTGCAAGTACTGTACACGAAAATGGGACGTCTCAACGCTGCCGATCGAAATAGGGCAATTGGACGATTGCAAGCCGGCGAATCAAGCAAAAAAATTCGACAAATGACCGTCCAAGATCAGGAAGACCTAGAGTCACCACACCTGCCCAAGATCGGTACATCCGGGTAACCCACCTACGTGACCGCCATCGTACCGCCCGGGACACAGCACAAGAACAGTTTGGAGCCCGAAGAGTCTCCGATCAGACAATCAGGAGCCGTCTCCGAGAAGTAGGGATACTTGCCAAACGTCCTCCCCCTGACACGACTACTTCGACGTCGACGAGTGAGATGGTGTAACACGGCGCTGCCATGGAACCTGGCAAACTGGAGGCGCATATGGTTGAATCCCGTTATCTCCTCAGGCGACGTGATGGTAGAGACCGTGTCTACAGACAACGTCATGAACGTTTTGCTCCTAACTGCATTAGACAGGTGGACAGATTCGGTGAAGAAAGTGTTATGGTGTGGGGAGCGATCTCATACACCCGCTGATCGGAACTTGTGCTTGTCCAAGGCAATCTGACGGCCTATCGATACATCGACCAGATTCTCCGTCCGCACGTCCTTCACTTTGTTGACCGTCAACGGCAGCTCTTCCAACAGGACAACGCCAGGCCCCACACAGCACGTGCCACCGTGGACTACCTGGCCAATAACAACATCAATACCCTCCCCTGGCCCTCCAGATCCCCGGATCTAACCCAATCGAACACCTTTGGGATCAGATCGATAGACGGGTACGTCGACGTCGTATTCCACCACAGAATCTTCAACAGTTGTTCCACATGCTGCAGGAGGAATGGTGAAGGATTCCACAACAAAACATCCAACGACTGATTCGATCTGTACCCAGGAGGTGTCGGGCAGTGGTAGCAGCTGGAGGTGGTCATACGAGGTACTGACTTCAACACCACCTGGTGGACAGCAGTAATGACTGTGATGACTGTTATTCTCATGACATATGGACAAGATAGCAATGCATTGCTCCACAAAATTTCATTCATGTATCTTTGTTTTCCGCTGATCTACACGTCCTTGAATAACACCAAATATTCATTGATATTTGGGTTTTGCGTCTCTTTTTTTGAAGAATGTATTTATAGATAACAAAATATCATTTCTCAGAAATAAGAGTTTTGTTTTTTTGCCGGGGCACAGTATCAACTGCTTGACGTTGGTGTCGCCTTGTCGAAATGATTATCGAGTCGACTGGGTCTGTGACCAGAATGCCCTTCCACCAAGCAGCCTTGGCACCTCGGCAGTCGTACACCTATGTTAAAATGTGGGGGTGAAGATCGCCTTAGTACTGAGATCGCTAAACATTTGTACAACGACACCATGGTTTATTGTTCGTCCGTTGTTGCTAAAGTTCGATAACTGATACTTGGAGACAATCGGGATGTAATCTCAGTTCGACATTAAACATCATTGACGACAACATACTCAATCAGTTTCTAATTTACATCATAACGCACAGTGCTGTTGGCTGATAACAATGACATTTCAACCGTCTTGTTTATCCTCTTATCTGTTTTTCCTTCCGTCTTCGTTAGTGAGGTTATCGTGATGAAGTGTCTGAGATAAGGACAGCCTGCTTTGTTATTTTGACTGTTCAGATCAGGCGCTCGACAAGTGTGTGTGTGTGTGTGTGTATATATATATATATATATATATGTGTGTGTGTGTGTGTGTGTGTGTGTGTGTGTGTGTGCGCGCGTCTGTGTCTGTGTCTGTGTCTGTGTGTCAATGTGGTCTCGGAAGAATAACCCTGAATATAGCCACGCTTTGTGGTTAATGTATGCTTTAAAGCAGAAGTTAGGTTATTCGTCAGCTTCTTCCAAATACTAAACATTATATAGTTTTTGTCGACAACTCTCTTATTTATGACGTAATCATGTAGCAGCTGTCCTGCCGACGTAGATAAGGCCGGCGGACCAGGAAGCGGTCACCGACGTCACCCCGACACTCTCTACCTGTCATTCTTTGTTGTGTTCCTACAGGTAGACAGACGGAGCTATGGGTGTATGCATATCAACAGTGAGTTATTGCCCCTGCATGTGAACGACGTGTGTTACCATGGTAACGTGACGATATAACGTTAACTATTATCCGACCTGCTAGGCGATATACGACGATATATGTGAATAATGTGTATCACGCTGATAACTACACCATGTGATGTGTGCGATAAGAGTTATTTTCATATACCGATAAATAATCTATTATATGGTCACTGATAATATGGACCATTTTGCACATACAATACTGGCTGTCGGCACATGTCCATATTGACCACCGGGCCGAAAATGCATATCAGTCATATCAGCCCTAGGGCCGAAAATCTATATCAACCATATCACCCCTAGGGCCGAAAGTCTATATCGGACGTATTGCAGGGTTACTAAACTGGACACACGCAAACGAAACTTCAATAGACGGAGCCTAGTTTATTTTAGAGTTACGTCCCTTTATGTCGTATTATGTTTAAACAGTCAGGATATGACAGTTTCCAATTCGCCAGTCACATCAGCCCGAGACTACCATATGTCGGGCAGATGCTTGTTTCGAGTACTGCATGACGTTATGTCAGACGTGATGGTATCTGAAGCATGAGAGTCACATGACAGTCACATAGAACTATAACACTCGCTGAGCACATCACGTGTGCCTTGTATGTCTTCAGGGAAACAGGACTCCAAAAGTTACCTCCCTTAGTTCGTCATGCTCGTGTATACAGACGCAGTCATTGCACGTCAACACTTTAAAAGTGATTTTTACTTTAATAATGAAGTCGGAATAGAAGAAAGTACTGCCTCACTACTTGTAAAATCTGCGAACTCGTAAAGCTTTGCTGCAGTTTCTAGTAGCAGGCAGTGTCGTGTTCAAGTCCTTCCGGCTATAACACTGATATAAAATGAAAAATATGCACATATATTTATATCGAAAAAAATATTAAGATTCAGTGTATTGAGTTTATTTTGTAATTTCTTTCCAGAAAGAGAGTAATTCTTTTCGCAACATGCCATCGACAGACAGTAAATGTACGGTTTTCACGCTTATGCTATTGAAACCAACAACACCGGTTTACTTAGAAGATTTTAAAGCGCTTACAAAAGTATACATGGGAAAACAACATTTTACCCCGGATTTAAACATATTTTCATCAGTTTGTATATAATAATAATAATAATAATAATAAATGGATATTTCTTATGCGCCATAGTCCATCCAGAGCATGCTCAAAGCGCTACATATAAAAAGAGTGACTAGAGTTCAAGAAGAAGATATGACAATTAGCCAAAAATAACCGTGAGAGTATTTTACAGTTATAGGTTGTAGACTTTTTTGAAGAGGAAGGTTTTGAGTCCCGATTTGAATGCTTCTAGGGATGAAGCATTTTTTTATGGGAGTAGGAAGACTGTTCCATAGGGTTGGTGCTGCAAATTTGAATGACCTATGGCCAAAGTGTTTGAGACGAACTTGGGGAACTGAGAGAAGATGTTGATTCTGAGAGCGGAGAGAACGGGCAGGCATATATGTTGACAACATCTCAGAGAGGTATGGAGGAGCTAGGCCGTGTTTGCAGCGGAAAACAAGAGTGCAGATCTTGAAATGAATTCTTGCTTCAACCGGCAGCCAATGCAGACTCTGGAGGATTGGGGTTATGTGAGTCCATTTGGATGTTTTAGTGACAACTCTGGCGGCAGCATTCTGAATTGACATATGAATCACACTGTTTAGCTCTGTTGTAACGATCTGTGTGTGTCCGTGTAGGTGATCGGGCTGGTGTTCCTGGTGGCGGGATGTATCGTGAGGTTCGGGTCAGACATACTGGACCCCTACCTCCAGGATCTATACACGGCCCTCCAGCGTTTCATGGAACAGGCGGGGGACTCAGTGGATCTCTCCAACTTCAACCTCGGCGACTACCTTAAAGACGCCACCCTCGCCCTGATCCTCCTCGGCGTCTTCTTCTTCATCATCGGCATCTTCGGCTGCATCGGCGGCTGCTGCAAAGTCCGCTGTATGTTGATAGTGGTGAGTGTATGTGTGTGATGCCCGTATGTTGACACATACAATATTTCATCGATGTAACGCCAGTCTGTAAATAACGAGGCGCGGACCAGATAAACCAGTGATGGACCTAGTGAGCACCGTCCCATGCAACCGGGATACGGTGACACGTCACAGCCAATTTGCTTAATGATTTGACAATTCATTGAGTCGAATCCGACTACCGCAGGTCGTGGGGACCAATTCCAAGCCAGCTGGAACTAGGTCAGTGGACACTGTTCTTACCAATGGTTCCATGGGTTAGATTTGGTCCAAACCCTCGTTCTGCTGCAACTGGAAGACCGAATTGGATTTTTAAACTTTGATATTTAAGAAGAATCCCGTTTTGTCTATAATCTAAAGCAGTTATATGCAAGTTCCCCCGTGTGCCTTTCCAGAATACGAAGTGGGTTTTGAGTCATGCTTCTAACAAAATATTGTTTCATAAATATGATTATGATCACTGATGTTTTTATGTTGATGTGTAGAAACAGCGTGGTGTACATCATGATATGTCGTGTTATATTTCCAGTACGCAGTCCTGATCAGCCTCATCGTCCTAGCAGAGGTTCTGTTTGTCATACTCCTCTTCACCATCAGAGACACGGTACGCACAGAGTTACTTCCCTTGGTTCCTCCTCGCATTATTTTATACACATGAAACCAGCGTCAGTGCGAGAGTTTTCATCTGATAAATCTGACAGGTTTAATACTGCTGTTCCAATTGGATGTCATGCTTGTCTGCCAATGTTCCAGGAACCATTATATCAGCCGGTCAGACTGAACCTTGCCTTAAGTGCAAATTGTCATGAAACACTTGTTCAGACAGGTATACCTTGAGCCTTCGGTCCTCTCAGCTAAAAGTACAAGCAAAAACAAACAAACAAACAAACAAACAAACAAATCACTTCATTTGTAGAGAGGACAGTGTTGGCCGAGCTGTAGAATGCAGAGTTACGTCCCTTGGCTCCTCCTGGTCTATTCGAGTCCTACTTACAACCTGGTTATGTGTCTAGGTTTACCATCACTCTACCATTAGTGGTTTACACACCAGCTGTAAGGTCTAAGGCCTCCTTCAAAGCTTACCACACAAAGCTTGTGAGATGACAACTTGCACTTGTGTTTTGTAGGTGGACGACAACATCAAAGGGCCAATGAAGACATCAATCACAGATAGCTACGGAGGCTTCAACAGCACTGACCTGGTGTCCCTCGGCTGGAACTTCGCTATGGTCAATGTGAGTACCCCACTGACCTAATATGCCACACTGTTTCGATCCACAAACATTTTGTAGCATTACAACCTATCACAACACTGTAGTGTAGTTCGCTTACGATACGAGGGCTGAAGGATCCAGATTCCATACTACAGCACTACGTTACACCATACATCACTATACTACAGCACTACGTTACTACACAATACATCACTATACTACAGCACTACGTTACTACAACATACATCACTATACTACAGCACTACGTTACTATACAATACATCACTATACTACAGCACTACGTTACTCCACCATACATCACTATACTACAGTACTACGTTACTAAATCATACATCACTATACTACAGCACTACGTTAGTACACCATACATCACTATACTACAGCACTACGTTACTACACCCTACATCACTATACTACAGCACTGCGTTACTACGCCCTACATCACTATACTACAGCACTGCGTTAGTACACCCTACATCACTATGCTACAGCACTACGTTACTACACCCTACATCACTATACTACAGCACTACGTTACTACACCCTACTTGACTATACTACAGCACTACGTTACTACAACATACATCACTATACTAGAGCACTACGTTACACCATACATCACTATACTACAGCACTGCGCTACTACACAATACATCACTATACCACAGCACTACGTTACTACAACATACATCACTATACTACAGCACTACGTTACTACACCCTACATCACTATACTACAGCACTGCGTTACTACGCCCTATATCACTATAGTACATCACTGCGTTACTACACCCTACATCACTATACTACAGCACTGCGTTACTACACCCTACTTCACTATACTACAGCACTACGTTACTACAACATACATCACTATACTACAGCACTACGTTACACCATACATCACTATACTACAGCACTACGTTACACCATACATCACTATACTACAGCATTACGTTACAGCACCGTGTATCAGTATACTACATCAGTATTCTACAACACTATGCTATAATTCTTTGCTCCAGCACCATACACGTATAGTATGACCAGAATTTATTGAGACTTTTAGGAATTTGTTTAATTGGATTTCTAGTATAAACAACCTTGACCAGCTATCAAGTGCTTGGTTTCATTCAAGAGAAACAACTCCGTTAATCCTTTTTCATTAGTTTGTGAAGAGTTATCCCCCTTTGTTTACTTGCTAGCAGACGACATTTTCAGTGATCCTCAGTATGGATGATTTAGAGAAGAGGAAGTTGATTGAGTATTATAACAAGGACATAGATCAGAATTTTGCAAATGGATATGACATTGAGCACCAGGGAGGCGCAGGTAGGCCCAGAAAATTGACTGTCGGTGACAGGAGGCGGCTTGGTATTTTTGTTTCTAAAAACAAACAACGGGGTTTAGAAAACTTAAAGCTGGATATGATTGATAGAGGAACTGTGGCTGTCTGTAAGGAGACAATTAGAACTGAGCTGCATGCAATGGGTTGCCAGAAAAGTCGAGGAATTCCATCACCAATCTTGAAACCTGAACAAAAGAAGCGAAGGTTGAACTGGTGCTTACATCATAGAAATTTTAACTAGGACAATGTGATTTTCTCAGATGAAAGTTCTGTGTGGCTGTTTCCTAATACACTGAAATTCTGGATCAAACAAACTGAAAAACCTTTGTATCAGCGCCCAAAGTACAGTCCGAAATTTAACGTGTGGGGTGGCATATCTGTTTTAAGGGCAACGCCCATCTATGTATTTGAAGGGAATATGAACAGTGAGCGTACACAGATATTCTCGAGGGACATTTACTTCCATCTGCTCACGTGTTCTATGGAAATGTTTGGATTTTGCAGCAGGACAACGACCCAAAACATAGTTCAAAGCATTCACAGGCCTGGTTTCGGACCCAAAATATGACATTATTAGATTGGCCAAGCTATAGCACTGACCTAAATCCAATAGAAAATGTTTGGGGACTTATGAGGGAAAGTCGTATGCCCCGCCGCATTGAAGCCTGCATTGCTGCCCATGGTGACTTGACAGATTACTAACTGTTCACCTGTCTTTGAATCTGGAGTTGTGTTCTGCTAATATTCACATTTAATACGTGAGTAATGAGTGAATTTTTTTTTCTCAAATTCTCAATAATCTCTGGTTGTACTGTATGTTATTTTCTACATCACTTTACTACAACCTTAACACTATACTGAAACACTATGCTACATCACTTTACTACAACCTTAACACTATACTACAACACTATGCTATAACAGTGTACTACAACCTTAACACTATACTACAACACTATGCTATATCACTTTACTACAACCGTAACACTATACCGCAACACTATGCTACTTCACTTTACTACAACCTTAACACTATACCGCAACACTATGCTACATCACTTTACTACAACCTTAACACTATACTGCAACACTATGCTATATCACTTTACTACAACCTTAACACTATACCGCAACACTATGCTACTTCACTTTACTACAACCTTAACACTATACCGCAACACTATGCTACATCACTTTACTACAACCTTAACACTATACTGCAACACTATGCTATATCACTTTACTACAACCTTAATATTATACTGCAACACTATGCTATATCACTTTACTACAACTTTAACATTATACTGCAACACTATGCTATATCACTTTACTACAACCTTAACATTATACTACAACACTATGCTATATCACTTTACTACAACCTTAACACTATACTGCAACACTATGCTATATCACTTTACTACAACCTTAACATTATACTGCAACACTATGCTACATCACTTTACTACAACCTTAACACTATACTGCAACACTATGCTATATCACTTTACTACAACCTTAACACTATACTGCAACACTATGCTACATCACTTTACTACAACCTTAACACTATACTGCAACACTATGCTATATCACTTTACTACAACCTTAACACTATACTGCAACACTATGCTATATCACTTTACTGCAACCTTAACACTATACCGCAACACTATGCTATATCACTTTACTGCAACCTTAACACTATACTGCAACACTATGCTATATCACTTTACTACAACCTTAACACTATACGGCAACACTATGCTATATCACTTTACTACAACCTTAACACTATACCGCAACACTATGCTATATCACTTTACTACAACCTTAACACTATACTGCAACACTATGCTATATCACTTTACTACAACCGTAACACTATACCGCAACACTATGCTATATCACTTTACTACAACCTTAACACTATACCGCAACACTATGCTACATCACTTTACTACAACCTTAACACTATACTGCAACACTATGCTACATCACTTTACTACAACCTTAACACTATACTGCAACACTATGCTATAACAGTGTACTACAACCTTAACACTATACTGCAACACTATGCTACATCACTTTACTACAACCATAACACTATACTGCAACACTATGCTATAACAGTGTACTACAACCTTAACACTATACTGCAACACTATGCTATATCACTTTACTACAACCTTAACACTATACTGCAACACTATGCTATATCACTTTACTACAACCTTAACACTATACTGCAACACTATGCTATAACAGCGTACTACTACAACACTTCCATGCTGCACTTTAACCATCTGGCCTTACTACAAAACTTTACTACAGTCAAATATGTGTACTACAACACCATATAGAACTATGGAAGTACCCATGTTCGTGTCTACATCGTGTGTGTGCGCTTGTGCTTTTGTGCATGCGTGTGTGCGCGAGAGCGTGCGCGTGCATGTGTTTGTGTAGTTCACCCCATATGTGTCTATAGTTCACCCTATATTTGCGCTCACAGTTCACCCCATATATGTATATATAGTTCACCCAGTATGTGTGTATCGTTCACATCACGTGTTATTGTGTTTCAGTTTAAATGCTGCGGAGTAGACAACTACACAGAATTCCAGAGTGCAACGAAGTGGAATGATAAATATACACCAAAGCAAACTAACGCCACCATTAAACTAGAAGTCCCCATCGCCTGCTGCAAACTGAATGGAACTTTCCCCAACATACAGCTGCCGTCAGACTTCACGTGTGCCACAGAACCGACATCGGCACTCTCCAATATAGACAAGGTAGTGTAACAACCATCTCATAGAGGGGCAAGGTAGTGTAGCGACTCTCTCATAGATAGGCAAGGTAGTGTAATAACCATCTCTTAGATAGGCAAGGTAGTGTAATAACCATCTCTTAGATAGGCAAGGTAGTGTAATAACCATCTCTTAGATAGACAAGGTAGTGTAATAACCATCTCATAGATAGACAAGGTAGTGTAATAACCATCTCTTAGATAGGCAAGGTAGTGTAATAACCGTCTCATAGATAGGCAAGGTAGTGTAATAACCATCTCATAGATAGGCAAGGTAGTGTAATAACCGTCTCATAGATAGGCAAGGTAGTGTGATAACCATCTCATAGATAGACAAGGTAGTGTAATAACCATCTCATAGATAGGCAAGGTAGTGTAATAACCATCTCATAGATAGACAAGGTAGTGTGATAACCATCTCATAGATAGGCAAGGTAGTGTAATAACCATCTCATAGATAGACAAGGTAGTGTACCAACCATCTCATAGATAGACAAGGTAGTGTAATAACCGTCTCATAGATAGGCAAGGTAGTGTAATAACCATCTCTTAGATAGGCAAGGTAGTGTAATAACCGTCTCATAGATAGGCAAGGTAGTGTAATAACCATCTCTTAGATAGGCAAGGTAGTGTAATAACCGTCTCATAGATAGACAAGGTAGTGTAATAACCGTCTCATAGATAGGCAAGGTAGTGTAATAACCATCTCTTAGATAGGCAAGGTAGTGTGATAACCGTCTCATAGAGAGGCAAGGTAGTGTGATAACCATCTCATAGATAGACAAGGTAGTGTACCAACCATCTAATAGATAGACAAGGTAGTGTAATAACCATCTCATAGATAGGCAAGGTAGTGTAATAACCATCTCATAGATAGACAAGGTAGTGTGATAACCATCTCATAGATAGACAAGGTAGTGTAATAACCATCTCTTAGATAGGCAAGGTAGTGTAATAACCGTCTCATAGATAGACAAGGTAGTGTACCAACCATCTCATAGATAGACAAGGTAGTGTACCAACCATCTAATAGATAGACAAGGTAGTGTAATAACCATCTCATAGATAGACAAGGTAGTGTACCAACCATCTAATAGATAGGCAAGGTAGTGTAATAACCGTCTCATAGATAGGCAAGGTAGTGTAATAACCATCTCATAGATAGACAAGGTAGTGTGATAACCATCTCATAGATAGGCAAGGTAGTGTAATAACCATCTCATAGATAGACAAGGTAGTGTACCAACCATCTCATAGATAGACAAGGTAGTGTACCAACCATCTAATAGATAGACAAGGTAGTGTAATAACCATCTCATAGATAGGCAAGGTAGTGTAATAACCATCTCCTAGATAGGCAAGGTAGTGTACCAACCATCTAATAGATAGACAAGGTAGTGTAATAACCATCTCATAGATAGGCAAGGTAGTGTAACAACCATCTCATAGATAGGCAAGGTAGTGTAACAACCATCTCATAGATAGACAAGGTAGTGTAACAACCATCTCATAGATAGGCAAGGTAGTGTAACAACCATCTCATAGATAGGCAAGGTAGTGTAACGACTCTCTCATAGATAGACAAGGTAGTGTAACAACCATCTCATAGATAGGCAAGGTAGTGTAACAACCATCTCATAGATAGACAAGGTAGTGTAACAACCATCTCATATATAGACAAGGTAGTGTAATAACCGTCTCATAGATAGACAAGGTAGTGTACCAACCATCTCATAGATAGACAAGGTAGTGTACCAACCATCTAATAGATAGACAAGGTAGTGTAATAACCATCTCATAGATAGACAAGGTAGTGTACCAACCATCTAATAGATAGGCAAGGTAGTGTAATAACCGTCTCATAGATAGGCAAGGTAGTGTAATAACCATCTCATAGATAGACAAGGTAGTGTAATAACCATCTCATAGATAGGCAAGGTAGTGTAATAACCATCTCATAGATAGACAAGGTAGTGTAACAACCATCTCATAGATAGACAAGGTAGTGTAACAACCATCTCATAGATAGACAAGGTAGTGTAACAACCATCTCATAGATAGACAAGGTAGTGTAACAACCATCTCCTAGATAGACAAGGTAGTGTAACAACCATCTCTCATAGATAGACAAGGTAGTGTAACAAGGTCTCATAGATAGGCAAGGTAGTGTAACAACCATCTCATAGATAGACAAGGTAGTGTAACAACCATCTCATAGATAGACAAGGTAGTGTAACAACCATCTCATAGATAGACAAGGTAGTGTAACAACCATCTCATAGATAGACAAGGTAGTGTAACAACCATCTCATAGATAGACAAGGTAGTGTAACAACCATCTCATAGATAGACAAGGTAGTGTAACAACCATCTCATTGATAGACAAGGTAGTGTAACAACCATCTCATAGATAGGCAAGGTAGTGTAACAACCATCTCATAGATAGACAAGGTAGTGTAACAACCATCTCATAGATAGACAAGGTAGTGTAACAACCATCTCATAGATAGACAAGGTAGTGTAACAACCATCTCATAGATAGACAAGGTAGTGTAACAACCATCTCATAGATAGACAAGGTAGTGTAACAACCATCTCATAGATAGACAAGGTAGTGTAACAACCATCTCATTGATAGACAAGGTAGTGTAACAACTCTCTCATAGATAGACAAGGTAGTGTAACAACCATCTCATAGATAGACAAGGTAGTGTAACAACAATCTCATAGATAGGCAAGTTAGTGTAACGACTGTCTCCATCATAGGCAAGGTAGTGTAACAACCATCTCATAGATAGGCAAGGTAGTGTAACAACCATCTCATAGATAGGCAAGGTAGTGTAACAACCATCTCATAGATAGACAAGGTAGTGTAACAACCCTCTCATAGATAGACAAGGTAGTGTAACAACCATCTCATAGATAGACAAGGTAGTGTAACAACCATCTCATAGATAGACAAGGTAGTGTAACAACCATCTCATAGATAGGCAAGGTAGTGTAACAACCATCTCATAGATAGGCAAGGTAGTGTAACGACTCTCTCATAGATAGACAAGGTAGTGTAACAACCCTCTCATAGATAGGCAAGGTAGTGTAACAACCATCTCATAGATAGACAAGGTAGTGTAACGTAACAACCATCTCATAGATAGGCAAGGTAGTGTAACAACCATCTCATAGATAGACAAGGTAGTGTAACAACTCTCTCATAGATAGACAAGGTAGTGTAACAACCATCTCATAGATAGGCAAGGTAGTGTAACAACCATCTCATAGATAGACAAGGTAGTGTAACAACCATCTCATAGATAGACAAGGTAGTGTAACAACTCTCTCATAGACTGACAAGGTAGTGTAACAACCATCTCATAGATAGGCAAGGTAGTGTAACAGCCATCTCATAGATAGGCAAGGTAGTGTAACAACCATCTCATAGATAGACAAGGTAGTGTAATAACTCTCTCATAGATAGACAAGGTAGTGTAACAACCCTGAACATAACTTGGAAGCAGCCCATGAATAATACCTAACTTTGTGTATTGTGTGAGAAAATTAAAATTGAATTTTATCGCATAATTTTTGTATGATATTATCGATAACACATTTTTCAACATTAACATTTTTTTCTGTCGACGACATTTCCGATCGTCAATCGTTTAAGTCAGCCCAAGAGATCACTGCATGTATGGTTATGGTGCTGACTTGTCTGGAACCACAATACTGGCAAGTCAGGGATTCGAACCCAGGACTAGTCGGCTCAGTACTCACATAATCTAACACACGTGATGCCCTGATCCCTGACCTGCTCATTATGGTTACTTGTTTTCCAGGGCTGCTACCAGGCTATCTGGGACATCATCAACGACAACAGCAACATCATAATCGGCGTTGGAGTTGGTGTCGTTGTTGTGGAGGTAAGCTGTAAACGTGTACTGGTCATTCGGAGGTTTAAAATGACCTTCACACCTGTCTGATAGCAAATGTTTAGTTATAATTAATGTTAATGATAGGGTCTGGGTGAATATTGTTTTCAACCCCGCACTTAGCATGAAATTCGCTGCATTAACCAGATCCTGGTTTGGTTGGGTACTAAGGTTGAGGTTGGAGGATGGGGGATGGGGGGTGGGGGATGGGGGTTGGGGGATGGAGGATGGAGGTTGGGGATGGAGGTTGGGGATGGAGGTTGGGGTGTGGAGCTTGGAGGTTGGAGGATGGAGGATGGAGGTTGGAGGTTGGAGGCTGGAGGTTGGAGGTTGGAGGTTGGTGGTTAGAGGATGGAGGTTGGGGTTGGAGGATGGAGGTTTGGAGGATGGGGGTGGAGGATGGGGATGGAGGTTGGGGCTGGAGGTTGGAGGTTGGTGGATGGGGATGGAGGTTGGGGATGGAGGATGGAGGTTGGAGGATGGAGGATGGAGGATGGAGGCTGGGGATGGAGGATGGAGGCTGGGGTTGGGAGGATGGAGGATGGGGATGGGGATAGAGGATGGAGGTTGGGGGTTGGGGTTGGGGGGATGGAGGATGGAGGATTGAGGTTGGGGGATGGAGGTTGGGGATGGAGGATGGGGATGGAGGATGGGGTTGGGGATGGGGGTTTGGGGATGGGGTTTGGGGGTTGGAGGCTTGCAAAAGGGGGTTCGGGGTTACAGAACAGTTCATAGTTAAGGACCTACGATGAGCCTCAACATTGGCTTCGAATACCAGATTTATTGTTATAAGGGATGTTGCCTATATTAAATTTTACATATTAACATGACAAATGCAGCAGTTTGGGCGAACCTGACACAGTCAGGCTGTATTATTATTGTTATTGTCATTATTCAGTACCATACACCTGCTTGGTACAGTTCTACTGCCTCTGTTACTAGCGATCTACGTCCAGCATCAGGCTGGCAACCCCTGATCATACTAGACTACTGGTTTAAGCGGAGTGAAGACCACCTCACTCACTCGCTCACCCAGCCATTCACTCACTCACTCACTGTTTTCTTCCGCAGCTCCTGATGATCATCTTCGCCTGTATAGTGTGCTGTAAGGAGAAGAAGAAAAACGATGATTATGATTATGACTACTAATACAACTACTACAACGTCATCGTCATCATCATGAACAGCAGCTTCATCATGTTCTGTACTTCATCAACGTTTCAGCATTCTTTAACGATCTGACTAGTGCATATGAGTGTCCGTGCGTCCATTGGAAGAGGACAGACCCAGTCAGGACCGGGCTGAGAAAGTGTTCACTCGATGGTCGTTCTGTTTTACTTGTGTTTGTGCTTATGTTGTCATAAGAGGCGACTAACGAGATCGGGTAATCAGACTCGCTGACACATGTCATCGAATCCTAATCCTAGACCGATGCTCCTGCTGTTGATCACTGGATTGTCTGACCCGGCCTTGGTTATGTACAAACCGCCGCCATATAGCTGGAACATTGCTGAGACCGGCGTTAAACAACAATCAAACCAAACCTTCTGTTATCAAGTGTTCCTGGGGATTGTGGGTTAGACGTCTTGTCCAGCAGCCCCCTGCTTGTCGTAACAGGTGACCAGGATGGAGAGGTTTGGCACGGTGACTCGGATGATTGCGTATCTTCACACAATGACGATGTGGGTTGTTGCCCACAGTATCAATCACCTGATTGTCTGGTCCAGACTCGATTAGTAACAGACCGCCGACCTTGTTGCTGGAATATCACAGTGTACGGCGTTGACTACAAACCAACAAACGCAACTGTTACAATATATACCTGGTTGGAACGCGACCAAATATATCACTTGTTGTCAGAACGTTATTTAAAGAAGCTGTACAGGAGTCGTGTTGGCGCATGATGGCTGCCGCTCTTGAAGCAGAGGGCCGGACTGTCGACCGAGTGTCCCCGCTATAGTGCGGTTATGGGTCCTATACAGAAGTACGTGATTTGCTCCCATGTATGTTGCTATACTGAAGTATCCTGTTAATTGGGTTAATGTAACCTGTATATACTGTATATACAAAATAGTTTCGCTATTTCGCAAATGAAAACAATTAACAAATTATCCATAAGCATCGATGTTTTCCCCATAATTGATCGCACGTGCAGGAAAGCCCGGATGTAACAATATTCAAGGTATTTAAGCAGTTTCCTGTGATGCCCAAGTTAAGCTCGCATAAATAACATATGGAACAGACATAGTTTTTACATTTCCTGATCGACCTCAGCATTTTGCAGGCGGGTTTTTTGTGTCAAGTGTTTGAAATCCTATTTTCTACGTCTGCGATCTTGTCTATTCTATTTTTTATAATTCTAGAGTGTGACGCATCACAAAACAATGTACCGTGTCCCTTGTGCACTGAGATAAAGTCATGTGTTTATATATGAAACATTATCAGTTTGAGATGCGAGTTTCATACACTTTTGCATGTTCTGTCTCGGGGTGCATATTGTCGTATGCTGCTGCTTGATATCGATGCTCATTATGTCAACCACTGGTCCAGACTATGTCGGCTTTCTGAATGTGGAGTTAAACAATTATCAACGAAACAAACATGTTTCCCTTGTTTATATATTATATTGTTGTATCACCGGAAGTGTGGCTCCCTTCCTTCTCTGTATCCTCTACTGTCTACATGTACCGACGTGAGATCCCCCGGTATCTGTGATATATGTGTATATGCCAAGAATTGAACCATCCAATCAACATCGTCCACCGCAATATAAGGATCGGAAAGACACGGAGGTCTTCAGAACTATAATATTAAATATCTGATTTTAAGGATACTTTACCAAACCACCAAACAGCATTACCCGGCACCGTAGTTCTACTTTATATGGCGGGAGTTTGTGTTTGTATCACATCACGACTTTCTATTATGCAGAATTTATTCACTATATTTTTACATTCTGTTGTTAATTTTTTGTACTGTAAAATAAGTAAAATGTTTCCATATATTCTCTGTTTGTTTTGTATATTCCTAAATCTGGATGCCCAACTGAAGACACAGAACCCCCACCCCCACCCTTTCGAGCTCGGCTCAATGCTTATTGTAAGGGTGACGGGATTGGCTCGATACCTTGGTTGATGCAAGTCATCGTATCCTGCCTGTGCAGATCGTTGCTCTTGATATCTACCACTGGATTGTTTGCTCCAGACTTCAAAATATCAGTTCCAAGTATCGATAAGATATATTGTTCTGTTCTGTTTGATTGGCTGATTGCTGAACGACTTTTTTATTGCTATTATGAGGGTATACTACGCTGCAGTATCAATAATTATGTTAATAATGAATTCGTTCCTACGTGTATTATTCCTGACTCAGTACTGCAGCTTCTAAATGCCCCTCGAAGAAATTCTTGGAGACGTAGCCAACCATGAACAGACTTGCTTGACCACAATGTTCCGATCTGTATCCAAACGTCGCTATTATTTGCATACGTTTCCCGTTCATCCATCTTATCCATAACCACGACGACCTCTGAAGATCCGGGTTAGATGGTCTTCAGCAGCAGTTGCTTGTCGTAAGAGGCGACTAAGGAGATCGGGTGGTCAGGCTCGCTGACTTGGCTGATGCATGACGCTGTATCATAATGTGTGCAGACCGATGCTCGTGATATCAATCACTGAATTGTCTGGTCCAGGCTCGATTATTTACAGACCGCTGTCATATAGCTGGAATATTGATGCATGCGGCTTTAAACAAGCAAAAAAATATATATATGAACATAGTCGCTACACGGTCACATATCTGAGAGCAGAAAAAAAAACAACAATCTATAAGACCTCCAGAATCGGTTCCCAAACACCCCAAACGTTTTGATACAGAGGGTATACAGGGTGTCGAGCGTTCAGTCACTGGTTGTCTGGTACTGGGTATTTTCAGGGGTCCGTGATGAGACTGGAATATGGCAGCTACAGTGATAAACAATAATTACTCCCTGTATTGAGTCCACCAGAAGCGATGTGTCGATGAAAGCACGCGACCTGGGTGTCTTCTACACGTGACCGGCTGCATCCGGCGGATCTCGTACCTGTATTCTTGAGGTTAAACCTTTTGATACAAACAGCCCAGTTATTATTATTATTATAGGATATTTATATAGCGCACATATCCACGCACTAGTGCATGCTCAAGGTAGCATGGTAGGTATACTCACTAGTACCATGATCACATACACCAGTCACTGCTGTACAGACCTGCTAGCTGCCAGGAATCAGATACCATGTGGACTTGTTTGTGTTTGTAGTTGAACACATTCCATATCAATACATCGACGAAAAGTGCGTGCGTGCGTGCGTGCGTGTGTGTGTACCTTGACCTCCTTCCATTACATGGTGACCGACCTGTCTGACGACTGGATGTATCTGTAGGACCAATATGGAGAAGCACAAGCGGTGGACACCACTGGATTATGTTCACTGGTGGATCCTGGTTTGGTTAGAGGAGGATTTTACAGACGCTTTTCTTGTTTTATCAGTACACACTCTGCTAAAGGAAAGAGACATAAAGGTAGAAAGAAATCGAAACCGGAGTTTTGTTGATACTCATGGAAGTTGAATTCCGAATATGAATTTGTCATGTCTGCAAGCATCGGGAGTGATTTGTAGAATAAACTACGGCAAACTATGTCTAAAAAGTGTGTGAAAAGCCTTAACACGTCCTGACTGACAACGGCCTTTGGTGGAACCACGACATTCAGTGACTACACAATGCCATTTAGAAAGTGGTCAGATGTAACATATGTTACATTTGGGATTACACTTTCTTAGTAAAGCACAGATTCTAGAACGTTTGTTGCCATGGCAATGCTTAGATGTTTTTGCAAAGCAAACAGCCAGAGTGCCTGCCTGCCTGTCCCTCTGTCAGTATCTCTATGTGTCTGTGTTTGACGCCCATCACGATGAAACACAGATTCGATGAGAAGAATAGTGTTGGGACAAAACTTGAAGATAGCAAAATTTATGGTCAGGCTTTAATCTAACAAAAGAAATGTTATCCGGACATTATGGACGCCTACTATTTCAACAAACTATTGCCATGTTATTATTTATCCAGTTTTAAATGGATACAATTTCAAATTATAAATCTACGTTTAAGTAAAGTTGTGAATTTTTGTGATCCTTATCAAAGTGTGAGTAGTATAAATAAACAACCACACAAGATCAAGTATTAAAGACTACAATTTACTGTAACACACAGGTTTATGTCTATATTCGTATAAAGCAATAAAGTGGGTGTGGCAGCAGTAATGAGAAACATGCCCTTCAAAATGTCTCTGTGCAATCTGGAATGTCAAGCATTACACTGCCGTATGATTTGAAATAGAAAAATGTGAGTTCTTGAATCCAGAATACGTTGGAAGCCGGCAGGAATTCTCCGGGTACGTTGTCACTTGATAAGAAAGGAAGATAAATGTTACATCGAAACGAACGTGAATCGGTACAGCCAGTCTTCTGGAAACAGCCCCATCCCGAAACCTCGAGAACGATCAATTCTGTCATGTTTGCTAACAACCAAGCGAGGTAACTACTCCTGTTAAAATCACGCCACAACCTTTCAGATTTCACAGCCTTTCATGTAATGATCCTGAGAAACTATGCACATATTCGAATGACATTTCACACTGAAATCCACGCTTCCTCCTACATGTTGATTTGTAACACTACATATCAAATTCAAATGTTATAAAAGCATATTCCAAACTGTGAAACAGATACAAAATAACCAAAGGAAATATGTATCCTCCAGAACGCAATTTGTAAAGGAATTCGCTAGCCCCGGTCTCGTTTCACACTGAATACAGAATCTTCTTAATTCATCAAACTTAAGTGTCTTTTGAACGTTTAAGCAATTTTCACCATGTGCTGCAATGGTATTGAAAACATTTTAAACATACAACCAAAACTACAATTATCAACACATATCACTCTAGACTTGTCAACAAGCAAAACTTGATGCAGGATATTTTATGATGTGTATTGTGTAAGCTTGGTTTCATATGAACTATTCTACTTTTGTCGATACACAATCTGATGACGCCATTCCGCGACATCTGTAGACCAGGGGATTCATGCACTGTGTTCTGTCCTATGGTATTAAGTACCACACACTTCAGTATACGCCCTCAGTACACGCCACTGTCCTGTCCTATGTTGGTAGAATGTACCACACACATCAGTATACGCCCTCAATACACGCCGCTGTCCTATGTTGGTATAATGTTCCACACATTTCAGTAATCGCCCTAAATACATGCCACTGTCCTATGTTTACCACACTCTTTAGTATACGCCCTCAATACATGCCACTGTTCTGTCCTATGCTGGCATAATGTACCACACTCTTTAGTATACGCCCTCAATACACGCCACTGTTCTGTCCTATGTTGGTATAATGTGCCACACTCTTTAGTATACGCCCTCAATACACGCCACTGTTCTGTCCTACGCTGGCATAATGTACCACACTCTTCAGTATACGCCCTCAATACACGCCACTGTCCTGTCCTATGTTGGTATAATGTACCACACACTTCAGAATACGCCCTCAATACACGCCACTGTCCTGTCCTTTGTTGGTATAAACTACCACACACTTCAGTATGCGCCCTCAATACACGCCACCGTTCTGTCCTATGTTGGTATAATGTACCACACACATCAGTATACGCCCTCAATACACGTCACTGTTCTGTCCTGTGTTGGTATAATGTACCACACACTTCAGTATACGCCCTCAATACATTTCTGTCCTATGCTAGAATAATGTCCGAAAGTGAACCACATACATCTGCACACAATTTAATATAAGCAAATCTTTCTTGTCAGTGTTAAGAGAAAATGGAGAGCACAGCAGAATGTCAAATACTGTTGCGATGGTGGAAGTCGACGGAGGATCAACACTGAACATCTCTTGTTGTGTAAATGTCATCTGAAACTGATTTTCTCGCTCCTCTGTTCACGAGTAAGTGGTACACGTCTTCATGATCGAAACACGTAGCTAACATGGCTGGGGTCATCCCGTTCTGTCCCATACTTTTGATGTCCGCAATGTAATGTGAAAGGACATGCTTGACCATCTCTAACAGTCCCCCGATACAGGCCAAATGGAGGATGTTGTTACCATGGTGATCCAATAGCCCCACAGTGCCACCTACACTCACAAGAAGGTCAAGGACATCTCTGTGTCCCCTCATTGCCGCCAACATCAGTGGCGTCCTCCCGTGCTCTCCCCTGCTGTTCACGTCCACTATGTTCTTAGAGACAACGAAGTTCACAATCTTCACGTTTCTTCCAAAACAGGCCAGGTGAAGTATGTTGTTACCGTCGTCATCCACTAGTGCCATAACGGCTCCTTTGTTGACAAGCAAATCAAACACCTCGTGATGTCCCTTCGTTGCCGCCAACATCAGCGGCGTCCGTCCACTCTGTTCTCTACTGTTGACGTCGATGATGTCGTATGAGAGGATATCCTTCACTATCGTCATATGCTGCCCAATACAAGCCAGATGGAGGATGTTGTTGCCGTCACCATCTACTAGTGACACATCGCATCCTTTACTCAGAAGGAGATCAAAGACCTCTTTATGTCCATTCTTTGCTGCAACCATCAAAGGTGTTGTCTCGCAATGTCCTCTACTGTTGAGGTTCACGAAGTCCTTCTTAATGACATGCTTCACTATCTTCACATGCCCACCCATACAGGCCACATGAAGGATGTTGTTACCGTCGTCATCTGGCAGTGACACGTCACATCCTTTACTGACCAGTAGGTCCAGCACGTCTCTGTGGCCCTTGTAGGCTGCCTTCTGTACAGGTGTCCTCCCGCGGTGCCTGCTGTTGATGTCAACTCGACCCTCAAACAGGAGTTGTCTCACCTTGTCGAATTTTCCCAGTCTGCAGGCATCATGGAGGGCAGTATCATCACGTGATGCATCTCGCAAGCTCGGTCGATATTGTTTTACTCAGGTCAATAAAAACCTATATCGACCTCTACAAGAGTCTATAATGTTATATTATCAGATCAATATCACGACTGGTGACCACGTAATGGGAATCGAACTATTGTCTGCGGTGTGATGACAGAAATGTTATATATGATTTTAATAATTCTCCAGTGTTGGTTCAGATGCCTCGTTATTCATTCTAAAATCTACAAAGGTTCAAATGTGAAATTTCTTATACACAACCAGTAAGGCCCAAAAGGTTTTCTTGAGTTTTGAATTGTCCAGGCAGGTTTAGGGATTGTTCAGGAAATGACGGTCAGGTTCATATGTGAAAATAACTCTTTAGTAATTTACTTTGATTGGTTAATTCCAATTAGACTCGCTCACAATATCTTTTTCCCGTTTGTAACAAACATCAGACAAGCGCTGAACTGAGGACTTTGGCTTTTCATGATATTTTTCAAATTTGAGAATTTGCATTTAAAGACAAAATTTGGCTTTCTTTCACATGTAGGTAATTAAAATAAATTAATATATGTTTCTCACCGACATAGACAACCACTTACATGAATGTCTGTAATATACTTAACAGTACAGTGTTCTCTTAAGTGGAGGGAACGTGTCAATATATTGTATTACCATAGCAATGCCTTTATGATGTCATTACGCAGGTGCTGTCGCCATTCCGTTTGATTGGCCGAAACTGTGCCAGCATGAGATGACCTACACTATTGCAGGCAAGACTCCAACACGTCAAACTGCTATCACCATGCTAGACACTATCACCGCCAATACTGGGAGGATGATACCTCTTCTAGCAGCCTGTATTCAGAAAAGAACGATCGAATAAGTGTGTGTGTTTAAGGTCACCCACTACCAATGTATGAACAGAGGTATATTTGTTTATTGTAAACGCACGCAGGTTCACGCATTTAATAAGTGCACGCACTGTAAAGAACAAACGCAGGATATAAACACGTACTCTTAATGCATATGGCTCTTTAATGGTTCTGTCTAAAACTTGGCGAGTTAATTAACTCTTATATAATACTTGAATGTCAGCAACAAGAGACATAACAAACCCGGACACATGATCACTTGAATTGCGAACAGTCGTTCCTAGAGAGGCAGTGTAGTAGAAGTGTGTCTAATCCCTTGGGATGACTTCACCTGTAGGCTGTATTGTGACATTCCCAATGGTGGTTGCCATGGACACGACATACACAACCCGTAAGAGAAAATCTTAGAACCTGCTTCAAGACTTACAGCTCATGACGTACTCACAAAACAAACACATTTTTCGTCATTCCAATGAATATCAACCACCTTAACATATACACAAGGAAATGTTTGTGTACTGAAGAAAAAAACTGTTTGTACCGTCCATAAGTTCTTCAAATAAAATGTGTTTAAACTCATGCTGTTTAAAGGGGAATATAAATTTCACTTGCAATTCAGTGATACTGAACACTGGAAGGGCGGACACCACAAATGTTCTTCACATGATGTATCCATGTGAGGAATGGAACCCGAGTCTTCAGCATGTGTAGCGAAAGCTTCAACCTCTAGGCTAGCCCTTCCGCCCGAATCCCGAAACTCATCCTTGGTATGTAATATGTTTTGGTTTGGTTTGGTTGGTTTGGTTTTAGTTTTACGCTGCACTCAGCAATATTCCAGCTATATAGTGGTGGTCTGTAAATAATCGAGGCTGGACCAGACAATCCCGTGATCAAGAACATGAGCATCGATCTACGCATTTAGGATGCCCGACCACCCGATCCCGTTAGTCGCCCCTTACTACAAGCATGGGTTGCTGAAGATCAGTTCTAGTCCGGATCTTCACTGGTAATGTAATATATAGAACGATATAGACAACATACATAGTGAAAACACATGACACATTTTCAAAAATAAAATTTTTATACTTTGTAACGACGTTCCAAGCAAGCCTGACCAACCGATCGCGTTCACCTTATAAAGGAGCAAGCATTATGTCTGATAGAGAATAAAAACGTGTTATGCATTCATGTTCGTGCAACTTCTTAATACCTTTCAAGAACGTAGTGCCTAGATTGCATTACATTGACAAAGCTTTGTTGTTCACGCGTTTTATCACAACCTATATATAACCGTTTACACAGCTACCTGTGGAGTACAATGTGCATTCATTATGCTGTTAGTGGTGTATTGATAACCAGTAGCCTTCATACAGTTACGTACGCATATATCGGATCACCATGAATATGTCCACACCTTCCTGTTAAAATCTCTCAGTGAAGTTGAGTATCGGGTTAGTCTATCTTGCGATAATATAAGCTGAGTGCTGAGTACGATTAAACACAGGCGTTCTGAGTAAACTGAAACAAAAACAATACATGCTATTCTCAGTCGTGACTTCTTTTTTCTATTAAAAAAAAACAACCATGGGTTCAACATACATGGAATGGTGTTGGCAACAGGGCGGATATAGGTTTTTGAGAAGGGGGTGGGGGTGGGGACACTCTTGAGAAAGTGGGGGTGCACACTTCATTTGAGTTTCAATGGTTATTTAATAAACTTATAAACTTTCAGGACAAAAAAAACGGGGAGGGGGTGTGCGCGTTGATTTTGGACACGTGTCATTACTTAATCGGACCGTGACAATGTCACGTTATAAGTCACCTTCCAGTACGACCATAAAGTAAACACCTTGTATATTGAACGGGAGCCTTACAAGCGGGTTATGTGACTGGTGACAGGGACGAACTACTGCACAAACCCAATTGGTTCTTACCTGGTCAGTACCACACGCATGTTGTCATTTGTTCGCAAAGCTTGCATGACATCCAGCTTTGTTCCATGTGAAGTAGGCACTTCTACTTTAGGCATCTCACTTTACATGACACTTGCTGGAGTCTATACACATGAATAATGTACTGCACCGAATTCGTTCAACACAGATCACAACCATGCGTTAAAGAGACGAAACTTTATTGCAAGTATAAGCAGTGTAAACGGTAAACATCAAGACAACTAAATGAATGGAAAACAATACTTCAAAACTGGTCATAACTGTCTGCTTATGTAAGAATAGAAGATAATACTTCATTTTCGAATCGTAAACGTTGGCTAAAAGGTAAATGAACGTATACTATAATCCATAAATTATGTTTAAAAATCCATAAGAATATAATAAACGACATACATAAAAATAAGTATCCAATATAAACGTGGGGAAGCATTTGTTTATGGCATATGCTTATAGTTGCATTTATTGCTGCTTAAACAGACAGGTCGTCGAAGAAACATAGAATATTTAAAGTCAATATGCTTCGAATAAATGTTTTGCTAAAAAAGCTCATTAAAGATAAATCAACTTTCATTTGACGTAAACATAAACAACCTTTGTTGGAGCTTTTAAAGTATTTTCAGTATTTCCTTTCCAAGTTATTTTAGAGTTTATGATAGCGCCTAGATACTTGTAACTATTAACATTTTTCAATTCTTCATTTTTGATTGAAAGCAGGGTGAGGTTGTAATATAGATTTCCTGCAAACTTCACATCTGCAAACTTCTATAAAGAAATCAAAGCCAAAATAGAAGAATTAGATAATGATAAAATTATAATCTGTGGTGATTGGAATCTAGTGCTTGATGCTGAAATAGATACATTCAACTACAAACATATAACAATCCAAGTGCCAGAAAAGAATTGCTAGGAATTGTTGATTTCTTTGACTTGAAAGATGCATGGAGGGAATCCCACCCAGAGGTAAAAAGGTACACCTGGCGACAGCCAAAGCCTATAAAACAGGCGCGCCTAGACTTTTTCATGATATCGCTGAATATATTAAATTCTGTTTCTGAAAGTGAAAGGCTTCTGGAAATTCAATAGCTCATTACTAAAGGATAAAAAAATATGTAGAAAAGGTAAAAGAAACAATAAAATCTACCCTACAGCAGTATAAAAATCCATGTAGTAATAATGGTGAAGATTATTTGATAAATGATCAAATGCTTTGGGAAATGTTATTATTAGAGATAAGAGGGATGGCTATATGTTACTCTGCAACAAAAAAGAAAATTAATAACCAAAAATTAAAACAAACACAGACAGATATCGTAGAGCTTGAAGAAAGACTCGACTCAGCAGAAAATCAAAAAGAAAAAGAAACTTTATTAGAAAATATAAATATAACTAAAATGGAATTAGAAGAAATGGAAAACCAAGTAACCCTAGGCTCCTTTATCAGATTATAAAAAGCGAAACGGATAGAGCATGGGGAAAAACCTAGCAAATATTTCTTACATTTAGAACATAGAAATTTCTTAAACAAATCCATTGAAGAATTATACAGAATCAATGGAAAAATACTAAGATGTCAAAATCAAACTTTAGAGGAGACAAAACATTTCTATGTAAAGCTGTATACTAGTGAAGAATGTGTACAGGTAGACTTGGAAAATTTATTTTCCAATTTTGAGATTAAAAAACTATCTGATGGCGTTTCAACATCCCTAGAGGGGGAGTTAACATATGATGAAATTCTTTCTGCTCTCAAAAAAAACTAAAAATGGTAAAAGCCCGGGGCCTGACGGCTTTACTGCAGAATTTATGAATTTTTTTTGGAATGGCTTAGGAAAATACATAATTAATTCTTTAAACTATGGCTATAAACTTGGAACTTTATCAATTACACTAAAACAGGGCTAATACTATGCTTACCCAAAGCAAATAAACCTAAACAATTTCTAAAAAATTGGAGACCTATGTCTCTCTTAAACACATCCTATAAACTAGCTTCAGCAGTAGTTGCAAACCGGATTAAAAATATTTTACCACAAATTATCCATGAGGACCAAAAAGGCTTTGTCGAAGGAAGATATATAGGGGAAATAACAAGACTCATTTACGACTTGATGGATTATACAGAAACTTATCAAAAACCTGGCTTACTTCTATTAATTGACTTTGAAAAAGCCTTTGACTCTGTAGATAGAAAATTTATCCAAAATGTCCTGAAGTTTTTCAATTTTGGTAAGAGTATTCAAAACTGGATTACACTACTTTTTAGGGGTAAAGAATCTAGTGTTTTAGTAAATGGATACTCGAGTTCATTTTTTCCCATAACAAGAGGCTGTCGCCAGGGCGACCCAGTATCACCATATATCTTCATCCTATGTGTAGAAGTCTTAGCTCTACTTATAAGAAAGGATAAAAAAATAAAAGGTGTTAGTATGGGTAATACAGAACACATTTTAGAACAATTTGCAGGTGACACGACTCTTACTTTAGATGGATCAGAAAGAGGATTACGGGCTGTTTTCAACATTTTCATTTTCTTTGCAAGATTTTCAGGATTAAAAGTCAATTCAGAAAAGACAAAATTAATCTGGATTGGTTCCAAAGAATGATCTCGAATAGAACTATGCAAAGATATGGATTTGGATAGGAACCAGACAAATTTTTTAGGTATTGATTTTGATATAGATCTGGAAAATATGCAAAACTTAAATTATGAAAAGAAACTCAATTCGATTTAAAGGGAAATGAAAATATGGTCAATCAGAAATTTAACTCCAATGGGGAGAAATGTTATCCTAAAAGCTTTACTACTTCCCAAACTAAATCACTTATTTAATACTCTACCAAATCCACCGATTGAAATCATTCAGAGATTTCAAAAGAAATGTTTCAACTTTATATGGAATGGTAAAAAAGTAAGGGAGAAGTATAATCAAAAGAACAGTTAAATATATAACAGTTAAATGTGGAGGAATTGGGGTACCAGATATACAAAACACCATATTTGCACAGAAATTGAATTGGATAAGAAGAATATTGCAAAACCTTGTAACTTTAAGTATGTAATTAGGAGAGATCTAGCAGATATTATTAGGTTGGCAGACCCTGTATACATAATAACAAATGTCTTACCACTAGTATCAAATACTTTCTGGAGAGATGTACTGCAGGGATGGTCCAATTTTCTAGCTAAACACTATGAAAAGGTTGAATGTTCTTCTGAGATACTCTGTCAGTCCGTCTGGTGGAATGACAATATAAAAATTGGTGGAAAACCGGTATATTACTTAGAATTATTTGAACGAGGTATCATCTTTATAAACGATTTTATGTATGACAACAGACTCTATGATTTTGAAGAATTTCAAGAAAAATACGACATGACAATAGATTTCTTAAAATATCAGGGCTTGCGCTTATCAATTAATAAGTTCATTAAAAAACACAATCTGAAAAGATTGCAATGTCCTTTTCTTCCTTACAATTGTCTAAAACTTGGAAGGGAACAAGGCAGCAAATATTTCTATCAATCTTTATTAAACACCAGCCTTTCCAAATCTTCTGGACAAGGTAAATGGGAAAAAGAATTTGATAAAGAATATACGGAATCTGAACAAGAAGGAATCTATTTGATGTCGAAACGGTGTACAAAGAGTGTTAATTTGAAGTGGTTTCAGTTCAAACTTGTACACAACATTCTGTTTACAAACACAAATTTACATAAGATTGGATATGTTGACTCTCCACTGTGTACATTCTGTGAAGCAGAACCTGAAACAGTGATTCATCTGCTAAGTGAATGTGAACATTCAAACAGAGTATGGAGTCACTTGTCAGCTTGGTTAAATACTGTATCCACAGGAAGAATTTGTTTTACAAACGAAAACATTATTCTTGGTTTTGAAGGGAAACATAACAATCCATTGAATGTGATCAGTATTATTACCAAACAAAATATCTATAAATGCAGTAAAAAGAAAATCAAACCATGTTTTAAACATGTTAAGAGGGAGATACTTAACAATTATGAGGCAACAAAGATATATTATTTTCAGAACTGTCAATTCTCCAACTTTTTCAGTTTCTGGTCTTCTTTTCATATTCTGTTTGCAGACATGACAAATCTTCCCTAGGGGTAAAATTATCCCAAGATCTCTTAACATGTTTGAAAATTGCAAACACTCTACACAGTTATTAGTATTTTCTGTACATCAGTCTAAAGAATAACTATAAACAGATTATGACTGTATAACACTTTTCATGTGCCATGTGGTACATTATCATGCATGGTGTAGGTATATAATGTTACCTACTCAAAATAATTATTCTTCACCTGTTAAAACTGACAAATACTCCACACAATTATTGGATTTTCTGTACATCATTACAAGTCAAAAGAATAATTATAATATATTACGACATGTGTAATACATTTTATGTGCTATTCGTAGTACATTATCATTCATGTTGTACATATCTAATGCTATCTTTTCACCTGCTGAAACTGTCAAATACTCTATACAACTATCGATATACTATGTACATGCACTACATTATCATCCATGTGGTATGTATCTAATGCTATCTTTTCACCTGTTGAAACTGTCAAATACTCCATACAAACATCGATATACTATGTACATCATTGCAAGTCAAGATAATGGGTACAACATTCTATGATTTGTAAAACACTTCTTAGTGTCATCTGCTGTACATTATCATACCTGTTGAAACTTAGTGCTTTATGTACATCATAACTTAAAATCTCACTAAAATATCATATACTACCATGCCCCCCAAAAGTGATGTTATCCAGATTTATACACATTACTGTATACCTACTTTTGTAATATATGAAAATGGGAAATAAAAGACTTAAATTATAAAAAAAGAAGAAAAGTCTCTTGGTGGCATTACTAAATAACATAAACTGTCACACCATATGTATGCAGATAATGTACAGGTTTTGGATTAATTCAAACCGAGCCCCTCTGTTGCCCATGAATTAGCTGTACAAACTTCTGTTTGTTGTCAAGGCATCAAGTCATGGATAAATTACAACAAACTTTGCCTCAATGATGAGAAGACTGAGTCTGTGCTCACAAGCCCTGCTAGTAGACGCAGCAAATGTCCGCTTGATTCCATCCAAATTAGAGACGCGTCGGTTCCTTTCTCCCTCCTCCAGGGTGAAGGACCTTGGCAAAGTTATAGACTCAAACCTTGACTTGAAGAAACAAGTTAACGAGTTGTCTGGATTTTGTCACATGCAGCTAAGAAACATTAGGGAAAAGAGAGCATGCCTCACTAAGGATGCCACGAAAATGTTGACCCTTTCACTCATAATTTCAAGGATGGATTATTACAACAGCCTGCTCGCCGGTTCTCCAAAAAGAAATGTAATCAGCACGTTGCAATCAATCCAGAACAAAGCAGACAGACTTGTTTCACTCTCCCCAAAATAAGACCCCGATCCACAAAGAACGTCATTGACTTCCTGTTCAAGAGCGAATCATTTTAAACTTCTCTGGCTAGCTCCTCTTCTAGCCGCTCAGAATCTCAACAGCTATTCATTATACCTAGAGTCAAACTGTGTAGTTATGGACAACGAGCTTTTCCCCATTCAGCAGCCTATCAGTTTAATTTTCTCCATCAAGAACTACGTACTTCTCCAGCCTACTCTTCTTTCCTGACATCTATTAAGACTCACTTGTTCCGTCAAGCATTTACCCGATCATTTCTTTCTTAGCGCTTTGAGCAAGATACTCATCCTGGAATGGTGTGATAAAAGTGGACTATTATTAGAAAGATTGTGTCACCTTCAAGATCTGCAGTTTGATTGTGTCTCTAACCACGCCGCGTTTCTGCCTTAATATGTGTAACTTTTGGCAGACGCTGTAGAAGCCTTATCAGTCGTCTCACTTAAACGTCCATAGTTTAAAAACACTCTCATATGTTTGTGTCACTTTCTATATCACTCCACTCACTGCACATACAATGTACTACCCCGGTCACTGTCGTTAGAAACTGCAGACACCTCGTCGAATATGTTTCTGCCCAAGTTACGGTCCCTAGTAGCAGAAGCTGTACATGCCTGGCCAGTTACATTTGTGCCTGTAGAGCCAACGATAACGCTTTAGTCACTACTGTCGGTACATGCCCGGTCAGTTACATGTGTGCCTGCAGAGCCAACGATAACGCATGTGTTATTACTGGGGGTACATCTGCAGCCAGCTACCTTTAAGTCAAAAGAGCCACCCATAATGCTTTTGTCACGACTGTCGGTAGAAACACCAGACACCTGGTACTGTGCCTTTTTGTCAGCAACATTTCTTGAAACCCAACGGTCAATACCAAGGGCACTTTCGTCAGAAGCCACAGTTAACCGGTTCCTCGCTGCTCCGTGAAGATTTCTCACGTTTGACTGTCTCGTCGTACATGGACTTTCTACACTGCCATCAGCAGGTCTGGTCAAACGTCCTTCACTGTGTCGCCTGGTATCTGTAATGAAAGCAGGTGAACACTATGTAAAATGTCTGCAGCATACAGCATACGTTTGATAAAATGTTTGTTTTATGAATGTAATGGATGCAAATATACCAAGCATTCAAATAATTTGATCGGCATTCTAAACGTTTGTGAGTCTATAATAAGAGAGTAAGTGAGTTTAGTTTTACGCCGGACTCAGCAATATTACAGCTATATGGCGGCGGCCTGTAAATAATCGAGTCTGGACCAGACAATCCGGTGATCAACATCATGAGCATCGATCTACGTAACTGGGAGATGATGAAATATGTCAACCAAGTCAACGAGCCTGACCACCCGATCCCGTTAGTCGCCTCTTGCGACAAGCTTGGGTTACAAGAAGGTTACCGGCTGACACATGTCATCGTATCCCAGTTGTGTAGATTGATGCTCATGCTGTTGATCACTGAATTGTCTAGTCCAGATTCCATTATTTACAGATCGTCGCCATGTAGCTTGAATATTGCGGGGTTACATAACAACCCAACCAACCAACCCTTAGGCACAATGGATGGTCTTACTGTTAGTGCAGGGCATTCTCAGGTTTGTATGACATGAACAAAAGTGATACTATGAATTTCTTTAAAAAGAACTTTCAAACGAAGAAGACATTTTGGTTTTAAAATAAGAACTACATAATCAATACCTGAATCAATGGAAGCGGAGATGAATAACTAGTGTTAATATATATCGCCAATTACCTGGTAGGTCTAGATGCTCGGATGGTGATTGTGTGGATCCGGTGATGTAGCATATCATGTCATCCTCCGACTCATAAGGTGAGGAGCCAGTTGATGTTCCAGCGTCACTGTCGGACATGGTTGGTTATATAACTATACTCAAATGTCAAGTGTTGTTCTACGTGAGTTATTATATATCAGAAGGGAAGTCTAGACTGTCATAAATTGTGCAGCTACTTCTCAACAGTTTGAGTATGAACATGCGAATGCATGATCCGTAATCTTTGAAGCCATTCAGAACGATTCATTCGACAAACATTTGCCGTCTTTGTCGCACCGCTATCTGTGACATAATATGTTCTGGGCCCTTCCTTGTCGTAGAACACGACTCCCTGACAATAACGAACGGCTACTTCCAATACAACTAAGCCAACATCCAGCCTGGGGACGGTGTGGAATCTAATATCGATCAAGTCCCTTGGTCCTTCTGTAAACTGTCCGTCAAGATCCAAGACACAGATGTCAGTTTCCAGCTTCTTGTAAATGTGTTCTCTCAGAGACTCTTGTGATATATCCAGCTTACAACCAGTGTATTCCGGTTTCTTAGTTGTATATCCTTCTTTTGTTGTTAGTTTCGATTCGCTAACACCCAAGAAGTATGACCCCCCACCAACAACCTTGGACATAGATGTAATGTTGTCCTTGAGCTTCAATTGGCTCCAAATGTAGTCAGTCAACTGTTTAGCATCTCCCTCAATGCTTGTGACTTCTCTCGTGGTCTGGAATGTTTTCAGCTGTATATGTCGGTTCTCGTGAAGGTCCTGGACGTTATCTGGTAGTTTTGCAGTAGGGACGCTACCTGCTTGAGTTTCTGTTTTTCTCAGCAACACCTGTATGTTTGATGAGTTGATGCTAAGATTCTCACTGTCATTATTTGCTTTTGTGTTGAAATCAACAGTACATACACTCTCAACTTTCCCAACTGTTATCTGAACAAAGTCAGTGATATCTTCAAATGTTCCAATCTGACACAAACATTTACGTTCATAGACGTCAGTATAGAGTTCACCGTTTTCAAGTAACCCTGTCAACTTATTTCTGACGGCCTTGTCAAAGTACTCTAGACACCGGTCTGCCTGGGACGTCCCTTGTACGTGGACTAACAACACCCCTCCACCACTGTTACGTAATGCTGACGCTGCTTTGGCGACTTGATCCGCAAATCTCCTCTTTCTTGTTCTCTTTGGTTCTTCTCCTTGTCTTCTCTTGCCACCCTCGGTTAGAATCTTATATTCGATATGAATTGGTAAAAGTTTGTTGACTGGTTCACGGTTCTCCTTGTCTGTGTATCTGTTCCGTACTTCAGTACATCTGGAACACACACCTGTAATAGAAAAAAAGTGTAACTGAAACAGTTGCATCTTCAACTTTGGCTTTACGTCAGGTCATCTTGCCAATGGTCTCATAAGACCATTGGTCTCATTTCTCTAAGGTGATCGTAACTCCTATGCTGTAACATAGATTTACGACAGTCATAGCGCTACGAGGCCCGGTTCTGTTACCTTAACATCTGTCATTTCAAGGTAACCGCACATTCGTGATAACGAGGCACACCTGAGTGAGTAGGTGAGTATTGTTTCACATCGCTTTTAGCAACATTTCAACAATATCACAGTTGAAGACACCACAAGGCAGACTAGTGTGAAGAGTGAACACAACTTCATATAGAAAACTGAAACACAAATTAAATGTTTTTTTGTGTGTACAAGAACTAAAAATCGTGACATATTGTGTACATGTATCATATATATAAGCAATAGCTAGTGTTTCAAATTTGTTAATTTACAAACAGGATTTCGGTGAACATGGTTTAGAAACTGACTCAGAAACACTCGGTTGATTGTTTCTCACATGCGTCTTCGCTTCGTTGTTTTTTTTTTCATGAGCGATATGCTCATCAAACGAGTCGTTTGGCTACGTTGTCCACGAGCGATCCATGAATGGTTTGCATGGTCAATAGTTTTTCGACGTCGTTCAATGCGTCTTGAGCGCGTTGGGGTACGTCTCTCATAAGGATCGCGATAAAGAGGAGCTATATTCTTTTGCTCTTGGCAACATAATGATCTTCGACGGTCGTTTTTAGCAGATCATTGCCCATGTTTCCTTGTGTGAACGAGGTCTCCTCATTGTCGAGCAATTGGGCTCCATCACCATGCAAATTGTGCATGGGAATATCGTTACCACCTTCAGCCATATTTCTATTGAAGATATGAAAACATTCATTCAAAATAAATGATGTCGTCGCAATATGGGCAAAAACTAACCCTTTCTGAAGAATGAGAGAACCCCTTGGGGTCAAAGCCGTGCATCAGTCGACGACGATCATTAACAATCCAACGCTGTTGGTTCGCTTTCCCAACCTGGTTGTGGACAATGTCATCGTTCTGGGGACTGCTCGCCTGTCCTTCCAGATCAGTTTGGAATCCGAAGATAAACGCGCGAAGTCGTGGGCAACCTGGGTCGCGCCATTGTGAAGAAAACGACCATCAAGATCAGCGGAAACAAATTTTGTGCATCGATGACAGCGACGTGTTCTTCAGCTACACGGATCACTGGAGAATCGCGAGTGAACGGGAAAAACATGAAGTACCAGGGGATTCGTTAAGCCAAGTGTCCGTCGACTCGGTTGCACGTGGGGTACGCTTTCGAGCATGCCGAACTCGCCGCGATGGTTAAAAAACACAAGGCCATTGCCGAGGCGTTCGGGAACCGATTTTGCGTCCCCCTTGACATCGAGTTGCTGGAATGTCATATGCCCTTCCACCAGGCTGCGCTGGAATATGCGACAGGCTCGAATATGAACTCAAGTTTAACGATTACAGCATGATGATTGGATGGAGAACCGTGATGAGGGTCGCTACACCATCGACAATATTTCGCTGGAGTTTGACAAGGTGACGAATATTTGGGCACGTTAGCCATCCTGTATGAACGTGTGCTGCATCACTTGAAGATCACCGCGAACAAGAGCAACACGCTGTGGAACATCAATCTGAACGTGCCTGCGCGATCGATAAAGGGCATTTTGATCCTGCCAGTGGAAGAATTTCAGCCGTTTCAAAGGGTCAACCCAGTATTGGAACCCCGAGATCATGAAAGTCGAGGTGACCGTCAAGGGCATGCCCAACCAGCTCTTCAACCAAGGCATGCGCACTTACCATCAGTGGGACGATCCAATGATCAAGCGGCCGCATGAAATCAACGCGATCATCAGGGACCTCGGTCTCGCCTACGTGTCGCTAGGAGATTACCTGACCACCAAGTACGCAATGTACGATGATCAACTGCACAGCAGCAGTCATTGCATCGAGAACGGCAGCGAGGGGATCACCATCCAAATCGCCAAGAAGGCTCAAAAGCTTTACCAAGACGGTAAATTAAACCCTTATTTGTACGTGATCATGGATGCGCAGCTTAACATACAAAATGGAAGATTCGTGCAAGCCATCTATTGATTTGCCTCGCGATCCGCATAGCACCATCGTGTGAGGTCAGATGGGATGCGGGTAGACCGTGTTCGTCTTGGATCTGCTAGAAGGGTACTATCAGAATGTGTTTGATCATTTCGTGATTCTTTGCCCTACGATACGCGTCAATAAAACGTACGCGGAGAGAGCGTGGGTGATGAACGACGCAGAGGTGTATAAAATTGACCTAGTAAAATTGAGTACGTTTACAGGACTGGTTGTGAGCCTTTCACGAAAAGTTTGAGGGAGAATCGATGCTGTTTATCCTAGACAATTGCAGCGCCAACAAGGAGATCACCAAAAAGAGAGACATGTTATCGTATTTAGCGTTTTCGGGCCGCCACATGAACCACAGCGTTGGGTCCTCATGCAAAAATTCAACTCGGTCCTGAAAGACCTGAGGGGACAGACGCGATGGGTCGCCCTGTTTCACTGCAAGGATAGGGATTCATTTGAGGAATGTTTGAGAGAAAACGACGTCATTCCCACCAAACCAAGCGAGAACGCATGAGAACCTTGTTAGCCCAAATGAAAGACACCAAACTCGTGCAGAAAACAGACCAACCCGTGGCTTACGCAGTGTGCTAGCTTAGCAAAATCAAGCAACCTGCTTAGCAAAATCAGCAACCTGCTTGGCAGCACGTAGCAAAGTCAGCAACTTGCTTAGGTTAGGTGACGTGAAATTGGGTTTTACATCGTGCTTGAGAATATTTCGCTCATATGACGACGTGCATGTGTGTGTATGTGTATGTGCGGCTGCTTGTACTAGCCCAGACTGAAGCTGGTTTTATGGTGCTAGCCCACTGAGATACCATGCCGCAGTGAAGCATGAATACCCCACTCAGACACATTATGCTAACTCCGAGCCGACCAGTCCTTGTTGTACCCATTAATGCCAAGCGCTAGGCAGGGACCGACAAGTACCATATTTTAACGTCTTTTGTCATGACGCAGTCGGGGATCGAACCTGCGACCTTCCGCTCTCGGGGTGGACGCTCTAACCACTACACCACGGAGGCCGTCCCAACCTGCTTAGCAATGCTTAGCAACATTTAGCAAATATCTTAGCAAATTAAATGTACACCCCTATGTACGACGATTTTTGACATTGTCGTGTTGTTTTACTTGACATTCATCTCGTTCTGTTTAGGCTATGCCGTATTTCATTATATTAGATTTAAAACCCGATTGATGTATTATAAGATGGAGTTGGACCACATGCTTGAACAAATGATATCGGAGGAGGAGAAGGAAGGTGAAGATGCGTCCTCCCGTGTCGATGCGTCCCATCACCGCGGCAATCATTACGACGAAGCACTGCCAATTTAAACATAAATGCCCGATTAATGATATTCAAGATAACGGAGCCGAACACAGAAGCAACACCAGTGGCGGAAGAGGAGACAATCCCCCACCAAGTGATTGATACCATCACAAAGAAACCCAAAAATCTGAAAAAAGTAGCAACCGGTTAAAAAGGAGGGTTAGCTAAGCATCGTAAACTGACCCCGCTGTGGATTCCGTACACTGTGGTAGCTGCTGTAGTGTGTGTCACCGCGGCTGTATGGCTCCATCAACAAAAGATGACGCCACAGCCACCACCACCAGTGATGAGCCCACCACCAGCGAACCCACAATTAGAGGTAAACCCACACGTTATGTTATAATCATGTCTAATCCCAGCGAAAAAACGTTCATCAACGACGCGTATCACACTGCCGTGGTCAGGCGACTGGCCATAGGCTATGCTCGATTGAGCAAAATGATCACAAAACAATCGGCACCCAAACTCGATTTCAACCCGCAAGACATGGGCATGTTCGTGCTAGACGTGGGACTGGCAATGGCCACCAAAGCGATGCTCGTCAAGCAAGGCATCATTCCTGAAAACATATTAAAGTAAGGAGTCGTGATATGATATATAAAAATGGCCAGGGTTGCGATCATGCTCAGTTGGGCTTTAGTCCTACCCTGGCCTTTTCGGGGAGCAATTATCTCTTTTTCCGATTATGCACATCCAACGCCGCCAAAGTCGAAGCGGAATGAAAACGTCACGATTTGGCCATGCAGCAACTACAGGCTGCACAAGCCGAATACGTGAAAAAACGCATGGAAAGAATTGATTTCATCAACGCCCAACTCCAACGCAAAAACCGCGCCCTTCGAACGTTCAAGGACATCGACGATGCCATGTGACAATACCACCTGCTTACCGGCAAACGACTCGACCCCCTCGGCGGCGAACCCACCCTCTCTCAGTATTACAACCCTTCCAAGTCACAACAAGACCGGGAGCTGATTTTTGTGGCGTTAGGATTAGCCGCCACCATAATGATTGCCAAGCAATTAGACTGAACTGTATCTAAGTGCATATATAGCGAAGATGAGACCCGCTCCGTATCATTGTCAATACGTGCTTCTTGGAAAAGACCTCTGGGACTAACAGTCAGATCTTTCCTTTCTGCCGCTGGCATTGAGCTAGAAAATATATCTCCTTCCCGTTTTCTTTCTTCTGTTTTCGGCAATTAATTCGGCCAGACGTCCACCTAACATTAACCACATTAAAAAAAAGAAGAAACTAATGAATTACAATATAAACAAGCATTTAATCAATTAAAAAGTAAATATAATATATACAAATTCTTATGTATAGCTGGGTTCAAGGATGGTGGCGCAGTTGCTTGTGACGCTGTTATTGGATCCAGAACAATATCTTCTCGTTTACCAGATCACAGCTCAATTTTCACAGCCGAATCCAACGCTATATTTACAGCATTAAATCACAAATAACAAATAACCCTATATCATCTGTTCAGACTCTCTTTCGTGCCTTCAGGCTATTAAAGATCATTCTTGCAAATGTCATAGAATAAACCATTTCAATAAGTTTCTGTAAAACTTCATATATTCAAACGACATATTTGTTTCAATATATACTGAACCACAAAGGAAACGTCGTCTTTCAAAACCAAATGCAAAATTTTGTTCTTACAAGATGGTGTTTTTATTACGATTGCACCGTTTTGTTACGATGTTTTTCAATCCAAATTGACAGTTATTACCAACACCAGTGTGCTTTCTGATGAAATAGCATATAGACCAATTGCACCGAAAAAGGCAGACATGTTGAATGGTTCCGTATGACATTCGTGAAAATGAAAATGCACGTGCATGTCGTGACAACCCTACCAATGAAAGCGAGTCCCAAACTCGGCTGAAATCATTTTTGTTTTGACACAATCACCATACCATGACTTACGAGAGATCAGAGGAACCAAGTCTTGGGACGATTGCAAGTTGTCCAGACTGCACGGAGGGTAGCCAATCATTTTAATGTTCATGTTAGGACAATCTACCGACTGCAAGTGTGGTATCGGGTCAATAACAGCATCCAAGACCGTCCACACTGTGGGCAACTTTCAGTAACATCACCGCCAAAACCTACTGCAATGGGCAACTCTGGATGGAAATTGGCTTTGTCGACAATGGAAAACTGTGCTTTTATCTCATGAAAGCCGATATTGTGTTTCGACAGTCGATGGCAGAGTGAGGGTATGGGGAAGGCGTGGGGAACTGTTTCCCATTGAATGTATTGTTGAAAGAGACTCGTGGGGTGGTCCAAGCATCAAAGTGTGGGGTGTAATCGGTCTGAATCAGTTAGTTGACACCATGGTGTTCCAGAATCTTGGTCCAGGATGAGGAAATGACATGACAGCTGCTCTCTATA